GTTTTTAAACGTTTGTCATTTTATAAAAATTCCTTGAGTGTTATTTCTTTGTGTAATTTTGCTTGTGTAATTGCGGGACCGGCCAGTAATTAATTGTAACTTACAAAAGCTGGAATTGCTGGTCGACTGTGAGATGTGATAAGCTCAACTCGGTACACACGTGTGCAGATTTGAGTTTATATAAACCAGTAATCAGTCAGTAACTATTAAAGTACTAAGTTTCCATTAGATTAGTTTAAGAAAGGACAAAACGAAAAGCTTTCAATTGTGTGCATTTCCAATCTGAACAGTGTAAAAACCATAACATTTGACTGAAGAACATTAGGCCTAGGTTTAGAATTTATTTGGTGAATAAGTTTTATATTTGAACTGCTATCACTGTGTTTATTTTATGCACTAACAATGAAGAAGCAAGCACTTGCAACAGAGGCAAAACGGTGTAAATATTACTAACGTAGCTGCGTTAGTTGCATTTAATGTATAAATGTAAACTCAGTGAATAAATAGATCTCGGTGAAATATTACTTTTTATTGTACTAATTTATTTATACAAATTATATTGTTTACATAATTTATTTAAAAGATACTCATGGGCACTTGGAACAACCAAATTCAGAACTATGTATGTTTTTAAATAAATTTGTTCTAAATTGGAGCGTAATTGACTCTGTATTTCTGTTCAACTGCTCGATAAATTAAATGTAATTTTAATAGAAAAATAACCTTTTTGTCACTATTGGACAAAAAAAGATACACTGCTACGAAGTACAAAACATGAATAAAAAACAGAAAATTAAGACGCTTCGCGCCTCTCCCTGTTTATATCCTTTACGTCACGCCATGGCGATCTATTTCATCCAATGATGGGTCTGTTAGAGCGTTAACACTGTGATCTCGTTCAAGAGGATATCGCATAATCTCATCACCAGATTACCGAGAAAAATTTATTTAGACCTTTGTTTATTATAAATGGACTGTAAAAAAGATTATAACAAAGTGTAAATTAAGGAGTTACAATACTGAGGAATGTTCTATGAAAATGTGATTTTAATGTTTGTGCTTGATTGTAAAAGAGTTATTATACACCTTTATTAATTTGAAAACTAAATTTTAAAAAAATTGCGAGAACAAACGGACCAGAAAAGTTTAATTTGGACAAAACCATTTGATTAATTATGGGAGTATTTATCCGTTGCGAAAACGGCGCTCGGACATACTAAACCTGCAACACAGTCCGGTTCGGCAAAACTGTATCGCAATTATTTCAGGCGCGAATGACGAGTCATGATCGGAAAATTTATATTAAAATAATTTATTTTTAAATAATAATAATTATTTTAAATAATTTTAAATTATTTTGAGGGGTACGTAAAAATTTTAAATTTTAAATTATAACATATTGCCCAAGTTTTTTAAACATTTGTCATTTTAGAAAAATTCCTTGAGTTGTTATTCCTTTGTGTAATTTTGCTTGCGTAATTTCGCATTAACTTATCAAATGCTAGGCAGGTTTGATTACATTATGTTACAAAGATATTCTAGAAATACAGCCATCAGTTTGCTGTCGATATAAAAGCAGGATGTGAACATGTTAGTGAAAACTTTAATTCGGCATTTCCGTCTTGAACTGAACGAACAATCTCAAGACTTTCCTATTATTTCTTTTCCCTTTTGATTAAAAAGTCTGGAATAAAAAGAATAAAAACGATAAAGATCTGTCGTGTGTGTGTGTTTCCTATAACTTTAAAATAAAGTGGATATTTGGTTTTGCCCAGAGTGATGTTTTGTTAAATTTACTGTGACCTCGAACGAACCATTTTCTAGGTAATTTGTGTTCCCGATTTATTAATCCCTTCAGTTTCTTCTTTATTTTCCAAGGTTGCAAAATATTTGCCAATATAAAGATACAAAATCCGCATTCGTAAAGGTAAGTTGAACCAAATGGAAGAACACGTTTTGCTTTTTTCAACGAGCGGTTGAAATTTATTGTCCAGTCGAAGTCAAAACTGGGAATATACATCGGACTCAAAATTAGATTTCAAGGTGGAGTCTGAAGTAATGTCTATCAAACATTCATATTCACTTGAAGATACACTGAAAACTGTTTGACCACCCTTTGTGGTCTTGCAGCATTTTATCTCGAGCCGTTGGGAGTAGTGCTCAAAGGACATCTCCAGTCATCGAAGGTAAACATAATTTCATCGATCAACGTGCCGTTCCAAATCTCCACTTCGTCTTCTTTTAAAAAATCATTTAGCACAGGAAAACACTCCACTTCTTCCTTCTCAACGGATTCAAACAAAGCAGGATTTTTCTTTTGAAGACGTGAACTTAGCCAGTAGCATCGAAAGTTGTGATACTCTTCCCTTACAAAGAAAGACTCATCTCATTCATTTTAATGTAAATATCTGATAAATACTACAGAATACATTGCCATTTCTCATCAATGAAATTGTTGGACAATTTGACATTGAGATAAGAGATAATAAGAGTTCAGTATGTATTTCCTGTATTCGTGAAAGTTCTTTCCCACGACAAAGCAACTCACTTCTGTATGGTGAAGCAGGGAATGATGAAGACTTCCAATATCGACACATAGTACTGTGAAAAGTCTTGGCTTCTATAGCCGTGACATCATATAATTTGCACAACCCAAATCTTTTTTAGTCTGTTCAATCTAATAATTAGAACAAGTCGCGGCCATTGAAGTCGACTTTTCACAATGCCCTGTGACGATATTTAAAGCCTTCAACATTCTTACGAATTAGGAATTACGTTCTGAAGACTTTCTCGTTGATTGACCACAATATAAAATTAGCCAACGTTTTCAATGATGAGAAATGGCAATATATACTGACGTATTTATCAGATATTAAAATGAATGAGATGAGTCTTTCTTTGTAAGGGAAGAGTATCACAACTTTCGATGCTACTGGCTAAGTTCACGTCTTCAAAAGAAAAATCCTACTTTGGCTGAATCTGTTGAGAAGGAAGAAGTGGAGTGTTTTCCTGTGTTAAATGATTTTTTAAAAGAAAAGAAACTGAAGATTTCGAACGGCACGTTGATTGATGAAATTGTGTTTACACCTTCGAAGTTTGGAGATGTCCTTTGAGCACTACTCCCCAACGGCTCGAGGTACAATGCTGCAAGACCACAATGGGTGGTCAAACAGTTTTCAGTCTATCTTCAACTGAATACGAATGTTTGATAGAGATTGCTTCAGACGTTGAAATCTACTTTCGAGTACGATACTTACCCCATTTTTGACATCGACTGGAAAATAAATTTCAACCGCTCGTTGAAAAAAGCAAAATGTGTTCTTCCATTTGGTACAACTTACCTTTACGAATGCGGATTTTGTATCTACATATTTTGAAACTTTAAAAATAAAGAAGAATGTGAAAGGATTAATAAATTAATTTAACAAAACATCACTTTGGGCAAAACCAAATATCAATTTACTTTAAAGTTATAGGGAACACACAGACGACAGATCGTTATCGTTTTTATTCTTTTTATTCCAGAGTTTCTACTCAAAAGGGAAAAGAAAGAATAGCTAAGTCTTGAGATTTTTCGTACGGACGGAAATGCCAAATTAAAGTTTTCACTTACAGGTTCACATCCTGCTTTTATATCGTCAGCAAACTGATGGCTGTATTTCTACAATATCTTTGTAGCATAATCTAATCAAACCTGCCTAACATTTGGTAAGTTAATGCGAAATTGCACAAGCAAAATTACACAAAGAAATAACAAATCAAGAAATTTTTATAAAATGACTCGTCATTCGCGCCTGAAATAATTGCGATACAGTTTTGCCGAACCGGACTGTGTTGCTGGTTTAGTATGTCCGAGCGCCGTTTTCGCCACGGATAACAAATAGGGCCAATTTTAACAAATTTAATCAAATGGTTTTGTCCAAATTAAACATCTCTGGTCCGTTTGTTCTCGCAATTTTTTTTTAAATTTAGTTTTCAAACTAGTGAAGCTGTCTAATAACTCTTTTACAATCAAGCACAAACATTAAAATCACATTTTCATGCCAGGCATTTCAGGCCGTAATTGCCAAATTAAAGTTACCCACTAACAGATTCGCATCCTGCCTTTTATATGGTCAACAAATGTTGATAGCTGCATTTCTATTTACACGAATGTAGCTTCCCGTAATCAAACCCTGTCTAGTAGTTGATAAGTTAATGCGAAATTACACAAACTCAAAGAAATAACAACTAAAGAAGTTTTTAAACTCAAAATTCATGAAATGTCAAAATTTTAAAAAACGCTGGGCTTTGTTTTATAATTTAAAATTTTTACGTACCCCTCAAAATAATTTAAAATTATTTTAATATAAATTTTCTGATCATGACGCGTCATTCGCGCCTGAAATAATTGCGATACAGTTTTGCCGAACCGGACTGTGTTGCTGGTTTAGTATGTCCGAGCGCCGTTTTCGTAACGGATAACAAATACGCCCATAATTAATCAAATGGTTTTGTCCAAATTAAACATCACTGGTCCGTTTGTTCTCGCAATTTTTTTTAAATTTAGTTTTCAAACTAGTGAAGCTGTCTAATAACTCTTTTACAATCAAGCACAAACATTAAAATCACATTTTCATACAACATTCCTCATTATTGTAACTCCTTAATTTACACGTTGTTACAATCTATTTTACAGTCCATTTATAATAAATAAAGGCCTAAATAAATTTTTCTCGGTAATCTGGTGATGAGATTATGCAACATCCTCTTGAACTAGACCACAGTGATTAGACACAGTGTTAACGCTCTAACAGACCCATCATTGGATGAAATAGATCACCATGGCGTGATGTAAAGGGTATAAGCAGGGAGAGCTTCTTATTTTTCTGTTTTTTACCCATGCTTTATACTTCGTAGCAGTGTATCTTTTTTTTCCAATAGTCAAAAAACATTTTCCAACTGTAGGTTTATTATCTCTTTCAAAAAGAGGTGTCATAACTTAAAAAAATATATGTGCAAACAGGTGTTACATGTGTTTATTTGATTCATGACAGTGAGCATACGAATCAATCAAGATTCGTGCTTTTATGCTTGTACTTCCCATTGCTGAAAATCATTTTTCAATTAGGAAGTCTAAAAAAAAAGGTGCATGAGAAATAATGTCGAACCTTTCACTACATTTTTCCTTCCTTTTATTTTATTGACGCTTTTCTACTTTGGTTGAGCACAAGATCTAACATCGTCAAAATATCTTCTGCCATATTGTCCTGGAACTGACGCTGTTACATACTTAGCGTAAGAAGAACGATGCAGCATTTACTGTAAAATATTTAACATAATTCCATGTATATTTCTTGTTTTCTAATAAGAATGCATTGCTATAATAAAAATTATTTATTCCATATTTTCTATTGAAAACATACAATCTGCTTAGTATTTAACTACCCCCCATAAATTGGAAATACTTTTTTTTTAAATAAATCTAGCAGATTAGAAAATAAATTTTCTACACCTTCTCCCCTGCAGTCATTATTAGTTATATATAATTATTTAAAAAATATGTTTAACTATCTTTGAATAGCTAGAAATAACTATTCATTTGACCATACATGGTTTCTTTAGAATTCTAATGTACCTATGTATTAGTAGTATGCATATTTAGCAAATACCAGTGTTTTAAATTGATATTACACTAATTAATTGAAAAATGTTCTGATAGGTAGTTTAAACAATTAATTATGAGATAATTAAATCACGTATTGCAAACTACCAATCTTAGCTGATCTCTTCAAAGGAGAGCCATAGTTTCACGAGATTAAACGAAAAAAAAAAATCCAAGTAGTACTATAAATGTAAATAATGATATTTATTATTATCATATTAAGAGGGGGAGGGAAATTGAAGTTTCAAACACAAATTAAATTGAACATATATTAAATAACAGATATTTTCATAACTTCCATAATTTTTTAACCTGATATTTACAAACGGGCTTTGTTTCAAAACCACCGGCACCCTGAGGGTTGTTATAACCTCTATTGTTGCAAACCCTCTTTAAAATATAAAAAAATTAAATAATTTTTTAAACTATCGTGTGTGGCGATTTTTTATATTTTAACTAAACTGCTATATTTGTTATGATTTTTTAAATCTGAAAGGCAAAATCAATGCTTACCTTGATTTTGTTGTCCAACAACGAACTACACACCATTTTTTAAATGGTGTTTTATCTGAATTGAAATAAATGATTTCTAACATTTTAAACATATTTTATTTTCAAAACAAAAATAAAAAACAGCTTTTCCTTTTTTCTTTCTTTCATGTTATTAAATTCAAACTAAACATTTGTCAGGGAAAATCAATAAAATTTCAATAAAATTCCAATCAAATTAAAACTACATCTCTTACATCAAATTAATATTATATCACTACAAACATTTTTATTTGTAAAATGTTAGTTTTTCTTTTTACATAGGTATCACTTATTATTATTCAAAAAATATTTTTAAAAAGCTGGTATTATCAACAACCATTTTGGAAGTTAATAAAAGGAAGGTAACCCACATTGTGCGCAAACTCAAGAAATTTAAATGGAAGAACTAAATTAACAAAATAAAACCAACTTTTTACATATAACAATTATAAAATTACATTTGTTTTTTTATTTTTTATTACATAAGCATATCGTTTTTTTCCCTTGGTTTTCAAAAAACAATGTTTAATAAAATATTTTAATACAGGACTACTACTTACTTATTTGGACCCTGTTTGAATGCAGCTTGCACATACAAATTGTTTATGACTTCTCATGTCATAATAGCTTAGAGAGGGAGATCTTATAAATGCATTTTTTTAAACCTACAAGGAAAACATGTAACAAAAGATTCTTGAACATGGAGGGTTAAGTAAATATGAACATACTCGTTGTAAAATTCCGTTTTTCTGCTAAAGTATACCTTTTTTGTTTAGTAATATTATATAAAAACAATTATCAAATGTGAAACATATTATAAAAGTATGTATTAATGACCAGGTAGAATACTAAGTGGGATCAAAAAATGCCTGTCCAATTTTCTAGTTACTAGTTCTGTTTTGTGTGTTTATTTACTTTAAGATAAATTGACAGATGCTAAAGAAAAAATTGGATGGTGGATAATTTTATTTATATATCTGAGATATATTGTGAAAAAAATTGATCTGATAAACCATAACGAAAAATTAATTTCGACAACTCACTGAACAAAGGACAAGATTTACTCGTTACTAAGTTAAAAGTTATCAAATATGAAAAATTACAAATATCGAATATATTTTATCACATCAAAGTCGTTTAATTAAAAATTATATACTTAATGTAACGCCCTTTTAAAAAATAAATGCGTGCAGCATATGGTATGGAAGTTAAGAAGTCACAACCCTAGAAGAAAAAGGGTGTCTATTTCAATTTACTTCCTTTAAAGGACTGCCACTTTTATTATATACTTAATTACGTGAAACAGGATAATACAGACTGAATAAATGCCACAAGATTAACTACTCTAAAGATCTAATACCATTAACGAGAAAGAAACTTTATAATTTACCAGCCAGTCTGCCTCCATTATTACATTTAAAAACTCATTTTAACAGCTAAAATCATTGTGTAAAATACATGGTTTTTCTCAAATACATAATCTATTTGGGGTTTTCACCTGTATAATAGGCTTTTTCTACACAAATACAAAACTTACACAAGCATCGTTGTGTGCAAAATATTCTGGTCCTTACAAGGTGTTAAAGACATTATTTAACAAAGTATTATTATTATTATTTTTTTTTTTTAAAGAGAGAGATTTTGATTTTGGGTTTTTTGTGGTGTTGAAAATGAATAAGAAAAAATTAGACAAGAGATCTAAAGAAAACACAGTTAAGATCCTTTAAATAATTATTTTTGTATAATCTTTTGTTTTTCTCATATTTTTTGTATTAAAAAAATTCCTTTTGTTGTAATCTGTTTTTTATTTATCAAATTCCTTCCTTTGTGTAAAAATCCATTATAATGCAATCGACCAGCCTTTTTAATAGTTACTTAGGATTAGGATTGTGGTCAGAAAACCTTAAATAAAAATGTAACAAGTAATGTATGAAGATTGTTATTAAAATTTGCACAGTTATCTAAGAATTTTGACAGAGACTAGATATGATAGAAAAATCATGATTTCAAGTCTGAAGATGAGAAATGCAACATATTTAGCATTTTCCCCCCTCCTATTGGCTCATAATAATCATTCAACTGTTATTAATTACAATATTGATTGAAAGTTTAAAAATTACTTTTAATGATTGAAATAGAAAAGAAAATGCGATTAAAAGAAATATGTTCTAAGTATAGTATGACCTTAACCGTTAAAATACAGTTTATGCTCAATTACATTAAACAAAGCCCAAATTAATTTCATGCCTTTCTGCTTTTGTGTTTTTTTTACAAATGACTCACATTCGATAAATATAAACACCATAAAATCTATTTTCCCCATAAGTAAAAATTGAACACTGAATTTACGAGACATCAAACAGGGCCCAACATCAACATCATAAATGTGCAAGCTTTACATGATTCTCCCACTGGTGTAGGAGGGATTTTCAAGCCCTCTCTTGACCACTATAAATATTTATTTTAAAAATTTAAATTACAGTAAGTACTATAATCTCTCAATTTTTGTTTTGTTTACAAGTCTCTTCCAAGAATAGTTGCAACAATTAAGTCACATATAATATACATATATATTTTTTTTTACTTTTGTTATCAAATATTAATACTTACAAGAAGCGCATCAATCTGATTTAAGGTTTGATCCATTAGGATCCTTTGTGGGTGTTGTTGGAGTCGTCTTTCCATAAGAGGATCCTTTATCTATTTTTGTTTGCTCTATTAAAAGATAGAGTAAAATGAAAACTGAAATAGATAAAGTACAAATTATTATAACAAGTGTAACATTTTGAAATCTTGAAATAAATGTCAGTTCAATTGAGCTTTTAAGCTTGGAAGATGTTGAAAACGGATTTAAACAAATTTCTATTTTTACATTTAAGAAGCTACTTTCACTTCAACCTTGAAGAAAAAATTCTTAAAAATAATAAAATTACAACTAAACTTAACAATAAAAATTTTAAAAAAGTATGCTATCATACTTACAGACTGAAATTATAATAAGTCCGATTGACACGTAAACAGTAGAGCCAGATGTAAGTAAACACGTCAGGCAATATACCATTGGTATAAGTGTCAAAACTGCCCAAACAGACATGTTTATTATTGAAAATGGCCTTCTATTTAATCGGATGGCTTCGACTCGTGGGACTCCACTGGTTTTAAAGTAGTCTCCCGTTTTAAGAAAACTCTCCATCATTTTGTCCTTTTTACAATACAAATCCCTCAACCATTGAGCAGCGTCTTCTTCTTTTTCAGGTACTTCCTCCACTGGAATTCTTTCAAAGAACATGTGCCCTAAGACTGGCTTCCCAAGTAGTAAATTCATAACTGTTGGTTTCACGGGTGCTGTCCTGAAATTGAAATATTCAGTACAAAAAATCTAAATTATTCCAAAAATATATATATATTTACGGATCAAAACACATCTGTATATTGTAAATTGCGGGAACTTTCCCTCTCAGTTCAGGTAGACTGGATGTGAAACCTTTTGTTCTTGGGTTGAGGTGATGTTTCAATATAGGAAGTCCTTTTTCAGTTGCAAAAGCAACACTTGCTTTGTGCTTGTCCTCTGTGAAACGTGTGCCTTCGGCGAAAAGTAGAAGCTGGAAACGAGATTGAAATTTATGAAAAGCAATCCATCGTGAAAAGGCAGGAAATGTCTCATTGTCGTTGACAAAAGGGCGCATTGGGTTGTACTACGAATTGCATTATACAATGTCACCGAATTTGACACACTTACAAACATGGGATCGGGATATTGGCATAATTGTGCGACCTGTCTGCCTATTGTATCCTTGTCTTTATCCCAATTCCTCTCTAAGAAAACGCTCTCGCTGAATTTCCATGCCCAGCCCATTGTCGGAACATACTGGATGCTCTTTTTGGCATAAGCTTTGCAGTTCTGTAAATAAAATATATGTTTAACATTCCCTATGTAGTTTGATGTAGAGATCAGTTGTTTTTTTTTAAATAAATAACTACTGCTTTAATTGGCCAAGCTTAACTTAACTGTTAATTATTGTGTCGCCAAGAAGAAGAGTGAATAATTGATCGAAAGCTTGGCAAACTAGTAATTAATTAACATTGCAATATTAAAAAAAAATTAAACTGAGCTATCACATGATTTGCCAGAAATAAAATTAAGTTTAAATAATTATTGTAAATGTTTACTTTTAGTCAATTAATTTAATAAATACTAAACTAATTATTTATTATTGTTGATTTGGTAAACAATGTAAGTGAACAAAATAAGACTACTAACACACTATTTGCCATTATTTTTATTTTTGGCCTACCTCAAACAGAAAATATAAGGAATAAACGTTCATTATTTATTATTTGTTTCTTACACAATGCACACAGTGAAAAAAAGCTTTTATTGTGTCAAAGTAAATCATTTTTCACCTTCACACAAAGTGTTTAGTCACATTTACATCATTACTGTCATTCATGCACTTACCCCAAGGACACCGACTCTATCACAGAATATCCAACCGATTAGCCAGTCAATATCGTAAGTGTGATTGAGTATAAGAAATGCATGTTCTTTGCCAAAATACTTTTTAAACACCTCCTTGTCGGTGTAAACAACAATGTCGCTTCCAGACCACCATTCGGCCATAAAAACTAATTCTAAAATTAAAACAACATTATATATATATTATTATTTTTAATAATCATTGTTATTATTATGTCATTATATTATTATTATTATATTATATATTTAATTATATATTTATAATTATTCTTATTAACTAAAGTCTTGGTTATGATGAAAAAGTTAGTGTCATGAACGGGATTCGAACCCATGACCTTCAGCTCAATATGCCACTGCTCTAACCACTTGAGCTATCGCAAAAATTTTTACAATTATTATTTGGAAATCGTGAAATGCGGTTTGGTGTGATGTAGGTTTTAGAAAAGCATTTTCTTTATTGTGCCAACGTTTCGATCTTTATTGAGATCATCTTCAGGGCTCAAAGTGTTTGATTTCTGAGTAGATGTGTCATTCTTGTCTGACGTGTTGAGAGTGCCTAATAAAGATCGAAATGTTGGCACGATAAAGAATTTTTTTTTAGTTACAGAACTCCAATATACATTGTAATAAAAGGTATTCAAAAACTATTAAATATTGCAAACAAAACTTTCTTCATTGGTTTTAATTTATTTTATTTATTCAGTTCAGAACATTAAACTTTATCAACAAAAAAAAAAACCACTAGAAGATAAGATTTAAGTAGAACTGTCACATAAATCTAGTACAAGAGAAAAAGTTGACCTCCAAAAAGGAAAAATGATAAGGAAGAGTTGTTTGTAATTCGCAAAAAATAGTTATTTTTTTGTGTGCATGTGTGTCATCTAATCAGTACATTTTTCAGATTAACATTTTCTTTACTGTTTGTACAAATTAACAAAAAATGTAGATACTATCACACAGAATGATTCACTAAAATGTACATATGTAGTCAAACAAAGCAGCACAGAACTGACATTTCACACAATAATTACTTTAAATGACAGTTGGAATGATAAAAAAAATGCTTGGCTATTAAAAAACTATAAATAAAAGAATTGTCTTCTACCTTTTGTTCTTTTTTTTCAAATTACCATATAATACTCAATGAGCTTTCATAAACATTTCCTAGTTATGGCGCAGTTATAGCAATTATTAATGGAACAGCATTAATTTATGGAACAAAAGGATCAGGAAATTGATTTTTTTTAAAGGAAAACAGTTTTTTTAAAAAGAAAAGGATTTTATAAATTTGTCAAATGACAAATTGTCAGATGATAAATATCAATATGTGGGATTTTGTCTGTCCAGCAAGCCTCGGCTTTTCACTGTCTTTAGTGGTCCGTCTGTGGGATTTGGCCTAACAGGATTTTTTATTTACATAATTTGTACAAAGCGAAACCAGGTATCACCACCCATCATGTTACTATTTTTGGATTTATTCCATACTTAATCTAAACATCTTGTACCAAAATTTAAATTAATTAATAATTTAAACAAACTAATGAGCACAAGGGTAGAGCTTATGGGTTGTTTTCAATAATATGTTTTATTATAAGCTTTTTCTTTTTTGTTAACGTTTTTTAAAGAAAGACAGGATTGAGTGTCGGGATTTTTACTACTGAAGTGTGTTAACCACATCCATTATTTTGCTTTGGATTAACAATCGACGATCTTTGAGTTGCCAAGTAATTTATCATTTTAAAGATGAGATATTCTTTGGCAAGTCTGTTTAGGATGATGAAGAGACGATCGAGCTAAAAATTCTACCTTGCAGCCCTCACCACCCAATTTTTTTTTCTCCCCCTACAGACATTCAGTTAATGTGATTTTGTTGGTGAAAACGCCAACTGACCCGGGCCACCTCCAAAGGGCACTACCCTGTACACCCGCTTCTCATTCGGGTATACACCTAATTTTGGCAGCATTACGGATGTAGATCAAAACCGTACAGGGCAAGAGATGCCCCTGGAAAAGTCCACATCCTCCCAGGGACCATTTGCCCTTTGCAGGAGGAGCATCCCCAGAGGCAACCCAAGCCAGCCAACCCAGCACCCTTGGAATGACACAGGCTCCGACCCTCTTAATTAATCAATTGGTAAATAAATAAATAATCTATATAAATGTACAAATATTAATAAATAAATTTCAATATAAATAGTCAATAAATAAATCAGTATTTACGGCAGTAATAAATAATCAATTGGTAAATAAATTATTAATATAAATATATAAATACTTCTACGTAAGTAACAATGTAAATCATTAATAAATTAATAATTAGACAGATATTGCAATTGAATTTGTTTAAGCCAATTCCAATACCATCAAATTATATTAAATAATGAAATAATCATTACTGCTCTTTTATCATACTGTACATTTAATACCAAAACACTTCTACCATTTCTAAAAGTTTAATTCAGAAATTATTTTATTTATATAAACCGTAAGATTTAGCTATGATGAAATAATATTACAAAACTTGGCTAACAACGCTTAACAGTTTTAATGGTTTGGTAAAATGAGATAAGAACAAATTATAAGTGTTTGCAAGCTTTTCTTAATCAAACCACTTCAAAATATTGAAATTTCAGCTGTTAAGCTTTTTTCCAAGTCAATTCTTCCCTATTCAATCGTCTATGATAATTCTGAATTGATACTTCGCCCATTATTTTAACCTCTAAGAGATAGTGATTATCTTTTTCACTGTAGCCAAGAATAGTTTTATTTTTAGAGTTGACATAACGATAAATAATTATGATGACATAATTCATGTTATTGAAACAGTCTGTACTATTTTAAACTTTTTGCACGTTTTCGTACAGACTGAAACAAATACGAACTTTCTTACACCACTGCACTTTAATTTTGTTACGATCATGTATGACGACATTTGAGCAGAAAGTATCACCCATGTGACATCATATTAATAAACGTTTCTTACTAATTTGGAGTTATTTGTAAAGCAAGTATAGAAAGTTTTCTTTGTGAGTTCGAACATTTGCTCAACTGTTTTAACAGAGAAAATAAAACTAGTAAAACGCAATTTGATAATAAGGAGTATACCCAAATGAGAAGTGGGTGTATGGGGTAGTGCCCTTTGGAGGTGGCCCAGGTCGGTTGACATTGTCATCAACAAAATGACATTGACTGAATTACACAAATTTTTAATTTTTTTTTAAATTTGGAAATGAGAACACAATATTTAAAATAAAATAGGTGAAATTCTATTTTTAAAATGCTTTTCCTTCTTTAAAAATATTTTTAATCCAAATGATTCTGCATCAATACAATGCTTAATTAGATATTCAGAAAACATTCAAGCAGAACCAATTAAATAAAATTAGACTTTTTTTAGGTAATTCTTTCCTTTAGAGTTGATTATAATATTACTTTTAAAATATACAGACTCTTCTGATGTTTTTCCAATTATGCTGTAAGTTCCCTGATGGCTTTACAGGAACCATAAAATAGCATGTCGGAAATAATGCATTATTTTTTAAAGCTTCACATGACTTTGGTAATCAGAGGAATTGTTGTTTTCACAGCATAAAGATAATTAGTTACATCTGATGACCATTGATCTAGAGTTTAAAATACAGTATTTTGTATTTTAAAATAATTTCTTTTAACCTCAATTTAAGAACAATAAGCCCAAGTCGTGTACACCGCCACACCTCTATAAGACTAAGTTCCTTGAACTTAGGAACAAATATGCCGGTTTTGGGGTCTAGTCTTTACAGACGGGTCTACGACTGGCGATGGTGTGGCCTATGCCGTGAATAGCAAAGGAGTGGCCACCTTCTGGTCACTGCCCTCCCATTGCAGCGCATAAACGGCAGAACTGTATGCAATCTGGCACGCTCTCGAGGCGGTGCAGACCAAGGAAAGATCTGCCTTCCTCGTATGCACCGACTCTCTGAGCGCTGTTTGGGCCCTGTGAGACAGGTTCTCTGTGGACCCTCTCGTCATGCTAATGATGGAAAAATTCGCCGAGTTGAAGCGCTTCGGAAAAACGGTGGTTGTTGTCTGGATCCCCGAACACGTCGAGCTGGAGGGTAATGAACGTGCGGACGAGGTGGCAAAGGCCGGGACGCCCCACCCTCCAGACCGGACCATCTTGACCAGGCCCTCTGACGCCAAGCAGTAAAGAACACGATAAAAGAAAGATGGCAGCATCAGTGGGCCAGGCCGTCCGAGAGGCTTTTGTGCGTCAAGAGCACGATTCGTAGATGGCCCCCTCCAAGAACCTGAACCGAAAACAAGGAATCGTCCTTACGCGATTAAGAATAGGTCATACATGGTTGACACACGGGCACTTGTTCTTGGGCTAAAGCCCACGCAGGTGCCCCTTATGCAGAGAAAGGTTGCTCAATGTGTCCCACATACTGGAAACATGTCATGCCTTGGAGTTACCCTTCAGGGAGCGTGTAGGCATGCCATCCAATCTGAAGATGGAACTCGAGCAATGCAGCGAGTTTCAGGGTTCTTTATTGTATATAATATGTCTTATGTGTTGTAGTCTATATGTTTTGTCTGAGTGCATGTATTTATTAGCGTGAATGGCGAGGGGTGAGGGTGAAATATAACGTCATCATCGCCCCTCGAACGTTGAGAGCGAATGAGTGTGTGTTCGGGGTCGATGGCGGAATATTTATAAAAGTCCCCCATCGACACCAATCTAGATTAGTTTGAGTATAGGTCGGTGGAGGAATATCAAGTACTCTACCAACCAAACGGAATGAGTGTATTGTATGGATGTATTTATGTGTATGAATGTATTTATTTGTATGAAAGTAATGTTTGAAAGTGTAAATAGGAAAAAAAAAAAAAAAAAAAACAATAAGCCAGAAGGCTGCATTGGCTTGGAGAGCACAAATCCCACTTCCTAGTCTCATCTTAATCAACATCAACCTCAATTTAAATATAAAAAAGTTACATACTGAGCAATTTGACATTTGAAAGTATTCAGAAGTATTCTGATGTTTTTCAAATAGTAACACTTAAATAAATGAGTTCACCAACTCGCAGACCAAACCCCATCATCTACTTAAATATGTACTAAATATTTCGGGCTTACAGTATGATCGTCAAACCACAGTGAAATATCAACTTGTAAGATATTACGGGTAAAATTGTCTTCAGGTCGAAACAAATACAATATTTTTTTTAAACTCATCAGACAAGTTACTTTGTATTTGTATGTATTTGTAGCAACACTGCAAAATTTATAACATTATAAGCTTGAAGATGTTACAACTGTTATTTCTACCTTTTGCCTGACCTTGAAAAAGAACTACTGTTTGTTTAAAAAGAAAATCGTTGAGAAAATTGTAGCTAACAAGAACAATAGTGTTGAGAATACAATAAAAACAAATCTAATTGCTCAAATAATATTAATATTTTGTTATATAATATCAGAGGAATGAAATCTAAGAAAATACATTCTTTGAATGTGTTAATAAGTTTCACATTTTTCTTTTAGTGGGAACATTTTGGCTTGAAGAAAAGTTTGAGCCGTACAATGCACAATTTCTCAATTTTGAACTGAATTAAAATTTAATAAATGCCAGATAAATATAGAACTTGCAATACTAAAATCCGTATCAAATTGAATGGCAACGAGGGCCTCATCTATCTAGTTCCTACATATTTAAACACTAACGCTTGGCAGGAAGATTTTGAGGAATTAATTAATTAATTTTCAATTTATACTATTAGGAGATTGCTGCTTACACAAGTAACATGAAAAGGTGTCCTAAAGCAATTCTGTCAAGAGTAAACTTAATATCTAAAGTAAGAACTTCAAAGGATGATAAAATAGTCAGTAAAAAATATCTGAATTTTGTGAAGATTATGGTTTTCATATATTGAACAGGCGAACAGTAGACAATAAAACAGGTGTATAATTTCTAATCGGTTTCTTTCTTTTGTGATGAGGTTCATAACAGCACTGAATCCACATTCTACGTACCACATTACTATTCTTAAAAGTCCATTGTTGGTCCAAACTTTTGTCTCGGAACTTTGGTAATATTTTTTCATTATTTTGTCCTTATTTTTATTTTTTTAAATAATTTATTTTAAACGTCCGAAATGGATTATGTATAAAATAAAGCTTTTCTGCCTATACAATAAAATCCTGCTTGAAAGTTCTTTCATATTCTTTCATTTGTAATTAAATTTTATATTTATTATATCATATAAATTGAAAATATTGTCTATCTTAATATATCCTTGTCTAGATCCTGCTTGGGATTCTTTGATAACGTTACGCTAAATTACCCAATTTTTTAATCTTCCCGTTATTATTCCTGAGCAGATTATAGCAATTATATTTATTAAATTCACTAGTTTCGTGGTCCGCTTGACCAATTATATTTATTTGAGATATTCATTTATAATTCTCAACATTTTTTTCTCCTGTAAATTGGGAAAATAATGGATTTTTTGAAAGATTTAGGTATTTTTTCACCAACCCATATATTATTATTTTTTGTAGTATAACAATAATTTATGTCACCAATAAATCACAATGTCTGTGGGGCAAAGTCCAAAAATAAAAAATAAATAAATTTGGAGGGCTGCAAGGTAGAATTTTTAGCTTGATCGTCTCATCATCATCCTAAATACACTTGCCAAAGTGTCTCATCATTAAAATGATAAATTACTTGGCAACTCAAAGTTCGTCGATTGTCATTCCAAAGCAAAATAATGGATGTGGTTAAACACACTTCAGCAGAAAATCCCAACACTCAATACTGTCTTTCTTTAAAAAATGTTTTTAAAAAAAAGAAAAAGCTTATAATAAAACATATTATTGAAAACAACCCATAAGCTCTTCCCTTGTGCTCATTAGTTTGTCTAAATTATTAAATAATTTAAATTTTGGTACAAGATGTTTAGATTAAGTATGGAATAAATCCAAAGATAGTAACATGATGGGTGGTGATACCTGGTTTGACTTTGTACAAATTATGTAAATAAAAAATCCTGTTAGGCCAAATCCCACAGACCGACCACTGAAGACAGTGAAGCCAAGGCTTGCTGGACGGACAAAATCCCACATATTGACATTTATCATCTGACAATTTGTCATTTTCCTTTAAAAAAATCAATTTCCTGATCCTTTTGTTCCATAAATTAATGATGTTCCATTAATAATTGCTATAACTGCGCCATAACTAGGAAATGTTGTTTATGGAAGTTCATTGAGTATTATATGGTAATTTAAAAAAAAAAAAAAAAAAAGAACAAAAGGTGGAAGACAATTTTTTTATTTATAGTTTTTAATAGCCAAGAATTTTTTTATCATTTCAACTGTCATTTAAAGTAATTAATGTGTGAAATTTCAGTTCTGTGCTGCATTGTTTGACTTCATATGTACATTTAGTGAATCATTCTGTGTGATCTACATTTTTTAATGTTAATCTGTACAAATATATGTAAGAAAATTTTATATTTAAAAAAATGTATTTTTTAGATTAGAAAAATAAAATAAAAATAGCATTGTATAAATTCATTTTTTTAATCTAAAATTTTCTATCATTGTACAAATTCTTTTTTTTAGTCTAAAATTTTCTAGCATTGTATAAACTCATTTTTTTAGTCGAAAATTTTCTAGCATTGCATAAACTCATTTTTTTATCTAAAATTTTCTAGCATTGTATAAAATCTTTTTTTAGTCTAAAATTTTCTAGCATTGTATAAACTCATTTTTTTAATCTAAAATTTTCTAGCATTGTATAAATTCATATTTTTTCTCACCTACACCTACACTACATGTATTTGTTAAATTTAAACAATGTTTGTAAATCCCAAGCCCTGAAGATGATCTCAATAAAGATCGAAACGTTGGCACGATGAAGAAAATGTTTTTCTAAACCTACATCACACCAGACCGCATCTCACAATCACCGAATAGTAATAAAGTGTTTATCTGATGTGTAATCATTTTATTATATTTTTTAGAAGTAATGTACTGAAGAAAAGGTATAAATGAACCTTGAAATGCATATAAAATAAAAATAATACAAAAAAAATCTTAAAACACAGTTGAAAAAGTGCAATAAGTTGTTCAAACCGAAACAAATTTAGTTGGCTTTTTTCACAATTTGGAAAGATGGTACTTCTCGCAAACTGTTTTTAGCAGCACTGAAATGCTCGTAATCCGGAGTGCTGCTGAAACCTGTTTTGTGAGTAGAACCATCCTTTCCAAAAAGTGAATTGGAATGGTCACCCCACCATAACTGTTTCTACAAATTTACTCATACGAAAAATTTATCACTCGTCGGTTTGAAACGACATTTATCCGGAAGAGTTGATACGATTGGATTAATTTAAGAATTGCGCTTTTAATGAGTATATCTTCTAATTTAAAAGTTCAAACACCTGTTGTTGTAAGGTCACTTGATAAAAGCTTATAAACTTGGTTTATAAAAAAAATTTTTTTTTGCCAATTTTTAATTTATTTATGAGGAATACAGGAAATCCAAACCAAAAAAATATACATATATATATATATACATGATAGTAAATCTGCTGTGTTTTTGGTGAAGATTTTTCAAGATAATGTACGTTTTTTGTATTGAAGTAATTGACAAAGAACAAATTGATGTTAATTTTGTTCAAAATGATTTAAATAAAAAGTGTATTGTTTTTGTTATATTAATTAAATAGTAATAAAATAATCATTTTGAAATTAATGATAAACACTCGCGTATTACACATATTAACAAGCAAATTAGTTATCGCCACGGGTTAAAGGCGTAGGTCAAATGTTGGCAATTAATTTTTTTTAACGTACAATTTATTAGTTTTTTTTACTCACGTGAATACAAAGAGTAGCAGAGATAATAGTTGAGCTTCCTGTATGCGTATTTCCAAAATGGCCTGAGAAAGTAATACAAAATCCCCTGTAGAATGTTCAAGATGATGGCAGAGGTGAAAAACGTAATTGTCATCAAAAGATGAGCGACTGGAGATCTTTTGATGTGCTCTAACAAGGAAGACATTGTCTGGAAAGTAACGTGGATAATAGAGAATCTTGTCACCGAGTCTAACGAGTGTGCAGAGCTTACCGCGTATAGTAAAGTAAAGGACGTTTCTAGAATCTAGGGGGGAAAAAAACACAATTGAAAAGAAAAAAAAAACTGGAATAAATGCGACGTGACAGGTTGAATCGTGACTGTTTGGACCGGAAATTGGAATTTAGAAACTGTGAATTTTGGCGTTGTAAAGCTTAGAGATTTTAAGTCATGCCTACGTTAATTTCTTGATGAGCGCATCGTTCAAAAGAGTCAGCTGGCCGTGATAAGGTTCACTTGTATTCGTGGAATACTGGTCGGAGACGTGCCATCGCGCAGAGGGGGGCTCGCTATGTTGAGAGAAGGGGGCGGCCACCCGCTCTCATAATGTTCATACCTGAATTAATAAAATAATCTCACTTTCAAGAACGTAGGGCCCAATTATAGAATGTCTACTTAAACATTTATTATGCTAAGCACACTTGTTTTACATATTCATGTACACTATTGAACTTGAATTCAATATGGGTACACAGGTGCAGTTAAATTTTGTGAATAAACATTTCTATTTTTAAATTGAAACTCTTCTTCACGCCCATATAAATATATTTTATTAGATCTTTTTAGCATTGATTTATTATACATGTATGTAGGGTGTCTTTTTTTAACATGCACCACAAGGTTTCCCCTATTTTATTTTTTTTAATTTTTTTACGAGGGTGCGCAACAGCAGAGGTCATAAACCCGCAGGGTGCCAGCGTTTGTGAAAAAAGCCCATTTGTAAGTATGTCGGATTCGAATCCCGGCCCTGCATTCGAACCCGGGACCTTTACCTTACCGTGATGAGCGCAGTGTCAACGCCTAAACCGTTGTGGCCACCGATGCCCCCAAAGTTTTCCCTATTTTTGAACACATACAAAAAAGTGACTAATGGTACCCTTACATTTTTGCTCAGATTCCAAAACCGTCATCAATTTTTTTGACTTCGATAGTCCTTTTTGTTTCAAATGGGAACCACAAATTTTTAAATGTTTTTCTGCAACTATATTTTTTTCTGGTAAGAATGAGTAGCACAACTTTGGAACGCCTTCAAAATTGGCGACTCTGTGATGTTTTGAAAATAGTAAAAAATTAAGGACATTTCATAAATAATGTTTATTAAACGCAAGCTTCCATTTTATTTTCCCCCATGAGGCTGGTAGATAAATATAATAATAATAATAAAAATAAAAAAACTTTAAACAACCATTTCTCATACTCATTCAAATTTTACGGATTGTTTTAAAATATATATAGTTGTATTATATAAAATATAATTTTGATTAATTATTCTTTTTATCTAAGTTCTTGATAAAGAATGAAAGAATAATTAATTGAAATAATTAATATGGTCGATGGGAAGTTAGTGTCCGAGTAGATGGAAGTCACGATAGCTCAAGTGGTAGAGCAACGGCGTATCTAGCCGAAGGTCGTGGGTTCAAATCCTGCACATGACACTGACTTTTTTTTATTTCAACTTAAAACCTTAATTAATTGAAAAGAATTTATTTGGTCAAGCAGACCACAAAACCTAATAAATGTAGTATGGTCAATTATGACGGCTAAATATGGATTAATATAAAATATATTTCTTCTATTATATATTATTATCTAAAATATATAAATAGATTTTATTGTTTATTGTTATTATTAATGTTTGTCATTGTTTCGTTATTATTTTTTAAATTTTGTTTATCTACTACTTAAATTGTTTATGACCTCGTGATTTATATTCTTTGTAAAAAGATCTTTGATCTCTATGTATAAATAAATTTTAAAAAAATATGAAATTGCTTATTTCAATACCAAAAGTTGAATATCAATGAAGTCTTTAATTCAAACTGGTTATTAGTTTATTTTGAAAGCTTTTCACTTGCATTGTAAAATCTTCAGTTTTATACTAATCTTATAATTTACATCTAATGAATTGAATGAAATAATAATATATAATAGTAAGGACAGAGAAAAATTATTTGAATACCTGAAGTCAATATAAGTTTATGGAACCCCTTTACTTGCATCGGGATGTGACTGTATTTATTGTAAAAATGGAGAGAGAGAGAGTGTGTGTGTATGTGTGTCTGATACGGAATATCGAGTACCTCACACTCACAAAAATAATCTAGGTTAAGCACAATAGCTTGCAGTATGAAAGGGTAGGGCTTGAAAGTTTCTACTCTGTATGAATGTATTTATTAGCATGAATGATGGGAATACATTGAGGTTATGAACACCCTGCTGGCTTCCCAACTGTAGGTTTGTAATACAACTACTACAACTAACTTTTTATCAGCCTTCTGATGTCACATATGTTGGATGAGTATTGGGAGGAAACCAACAAAGAAAAACTTAAATATAACTGTTATACAACTAACCTAATTGAGGGTCGATTAACTTACCTAAATGAACGTACGTAATCGGCCAGCCTTGGCATTGGATAATCTTGAATGAAATAATAATTATAATAAGATACTAGTTCACTGTTGAACTTAACACACTTTACCGTTGAGCATAATAGCTTGGGAAAAAGATAAAAGTAGGTGAGAGTGAAAAAACAATGGAAGAATTTTCAGCCTGTCATTAAAACGCTTGTGTGACCCAAAGTAGGAGCTATGAATAAATTAATTCATTAAAACATGCAATAATCAAAACAAATAAAACCAACATTTATTTCAGGATCATTAGCAAAACAAGGATATTTACACGATCTCATAATTAAACACACACACACAAAGTATTTAAAACAATTCAGTCACAATAATTTTTAAGGGTCAGTCTGGGTACAACATTCATCGACTGAAGTTCTTGGAACAGCAATTTGCATGCATACGGGATACGGATGGTCGAAACGGAAGCACTGCTACTACATCCATGACACCTGTCGACATAACATAAAATTATTTTGTTGTCTTTTTATCAGCCTTCTGATGTCACATATGTTGTATGAGGATTGGGGAGGAAGCCAACAAAGAAAAACTTAAAAATTGTCGCCAAGTTTTCAGCCTATTTAATACCTTATTCAGGACTGTAATATATAACTTAAATTAAAACAAACAACATTAAAAGAATTTTTAGCGTCTAGAGGACCTTGGAGATGAAACTATAATTTGTTGGCTTCCTCCCCGATATTCTTGCAAAAAATACATATCGATGATAGAGATGGATGTTAGGAAATGTTAGGTCAAAAATATGTCCCTCTAAGTTGGTTAGATAGAACTGCTATAGTGAGCACATACATTTCTGCTGTAAAAATAGAAACCGTGCTTGGCAAAGATTTTTTTTTTAATGACCATGCAACAGGTCGAAGAAGGCGCATCCAACTCTCCCTTCCAGAATGGATCTATCCCCCCAACCAAGACGATGTCCTGGAAGTCTTCAGAAATTTCTGCTTGGAATAGAATAATCAAACATATATGTGAGGAATATCCAGAATAGTCTTTTAAATACAGTGTCAAAAGGGTGCTAATGGCCTTTGAATAGTCAAGCTGGAGGTTTTTTTTTTTTTACATGTGTTTTTTAGTGATCGGTTGTTTAATAATTTGTCTCAATAAGTCATCAGGAGTGGTCAACCAAGACTTCAACAAATAATTTTTCTTTGTATTATTTCATTAAAAAAATATATCTGGTAGAAATGTAACGATTTTTTTACTACAAGGTAATTTTAATTTTAACTGGTAGTTTAAATATAAATTTTAAAAAGAAATATACAAACCATCCAGAATAAGCGAGCCTCCCACATAAATTGCAAACATCGACATCAAAAGCATCGCTCGATATCATCAATCTCTCGATCAGCATCATACTGCAAAATAATTTAATGGTGGTCATTTTTTAAATTCAATTTAATATTTATTTATATACATTACCTTGCGCCATAACTGATCAGGCAATCCCTTTCCATTTCTCCAACCCTGAGGCCACCTTCTCGACTTTTACCTTCTGTGGGCTGCCTCGTCAAAACAGCTCTGGGTCCTCTGCTTCTTGCGTGCATTTTATCTTGCACCATGTGTTTTAGTTTTTGATAGTAAACCTTAAAAATAAAATAAAAAATTAAGACTGATTTTAACACAAAAAATATAAATTTACGGGACTTACAGGTCCTGAGTAAATATAGGCTTCTAGCGGCTCCCCTGTTATACCAGAATAAAAAGTATCTTTTCCTTGATAATTAAATCCATGTTTTTTCAACTCTTCAGTTATATCTTCAACCTTTGCACCACCAAAAGCTATAAAATATTCTATTATAATTTGAACCGAACAATAAATTTGTAATATGGGACTGCAGTGGCTGAGTGGTTAGGATGTTGACTTATATTTATCATACTTGTGATTCTGAGTTCGAATCTCAGCAGAGCCCACTGCTTTTTAATTGATAATGGTATGAAAAATAAATTGTAAACGGTTTTTATTCTTCGTCTGTGATACTCAACAGGCTGTTGTATGTTAAGGAGGAAAAAACAGCTGTAGTCATACCCGTCCCATAGTTGAATTTTCCCTCTAACACGCCAGATTTGCCTGCTAAAAGCTCAATCAGTTTTCCGACTGTCATTCTCGATGGGAAACCATGAGGATTCATGATCATGTCTGGGCAAATCCCATAATCATTAAACGGCATGTCCTCCTGCTCCACTATCAATCCTGGAAAAAAAATCATTGAAAATAAATCACACGAGGTTGTTTTGTAGTTTTGTACCTGTGACTCCTTTCTGACCGTGCCGGCTACTGAATTTATCACCGATTTCTGGGCGTCTTGTTTGCCTCAAAAGAAGCTTGATTAAAAAAGATTCTTCACTGTTTGAAGAAACCATAACTTTTTCTACGCAACTGTCTACGGTGCCTTTATACGCCACTGGAACCTGATTTAAAACAAAAAGTAAACATTATTGAATATACAGTAATAAAAGTATAAAAATTAAAACAAAAATCACTTACATCTTTATGTTCAATATTTGCCGCAGGTTGACCCGGGGTGCCTATGGTTGTTCCTGAACCACTCATAACTGGCATAGTTTTATTGACTAAGATCTGCAAAAGAATCGAAATTATATTTTTATATTTTAAATAAAATATAAAAATTTAGATTGTTCAATTTTATTATTTCTAGGCCTTTTTCTTGAAGGTGTTTTAAAAAATTGGTTAAATGCACTACATTAAGGCAGCCATGTTAGCACTTTGCCATTGTTACATTTTATAAGTATTTTTTTAAATTGTTTTATATATCACAATAAAGAAATAAACCATTGAGAATACTAAAACATTTGACATTTGCAAAAATTAACAAAAATTAAAAATCCATAAAAAGGGGGAAAAGACAACAAAAATGAAGAAGAAAAAATACTTGTCTATCTTTGATGATTTCCCCAGGGGCTGCAATGCCATCGCCATCAAGGGCTTGATGCCTGTAAGGTGGTAACAACGTTTCCGCATCCAATAAAGGAGGCATTATTCTATCGTAAGTTTGATTTGCATATTGTTTCAATGTGCATTTCGAGTTACGATACACTAAACAACGCCCGTAGCCTAATAAACATTTAAGTTTTAATTATGTAATGATACAATAATAACGAAAAGTGGTTTTTAAAATATAAATTTTTTACCTCGATCGATAGAGGCTTTGTTTAAAATTAAAGCGTCTTCAATGTCATAACCTGAGTAACTCATCACAGCTACGATCGCATTTTGTCCGGCCGGCAGTTTGTCAAAATTTATCAATTCGAGAGCGTGACTCTTCACCATGGGCGCTTGTGGATAGACTAAGTTATACATGAGAGTGTCAATCCTGTTCTGCTGGTTGTAGCCAATCGTGCCGATGGCTTGTTTTCCCATGGCGCACTGATACGTGTTCCTCGGGCTCTGGTTGTGATGAGGGTATGGGACAAGGGCTGCACAAACACCAAGCAACGTGAAATCGGCTATTTCCAAATGGGTTGTGTTTTTATTGATTTCATTCTCGCTCAGGGCCACCATGCTGTCATTTTCTTCATTCACATCCAAATATTCGATCAGTCCTAAAATAAAACTTAATATTAACCCACAGAGGAACTGAGACACAGTTTGAAACAATCGGTGTGTTAAAAAAATATTACAGACTGTTGTACAGTGCAATAAATATATAATATCTCTAGAATTAACAATTATTATAAATATTGTTCTTATTAGACAATTAATTAAGGTTTTTAGTTGAGATGAAAAAAAGTTTATGGCACGAGAGGGATTCGAACCCACGACCTTCGGCTAGATACGCCGCTGCTCTACCACCTGATCTACTCAGACATCAACTCCCCATCTGAACCCCACCTTATGAGTTTTCCCTCCTTTTGCCATTTTTCAAGAAGAAAACTCATAAGGTGGGGTTGAGATGGGGAGTTGATGTTTGAGTGGATCGAGGTCACGATAGCTCAGATGGTAGAGCAGCTACGTACTGGCTTTTTTGTTCATTTAGGTTGGAGCTTCCGAATTGTGGTCCGCAGACTCCTCCGAGGTTAATTAAAAGTACAACGAATAAATAAAATGAAAAAACTAATAACAATAAGTGCTGAAAGTTTTTTTTAAGTTTTATTAATTCATTCTACATTTATTTTTTCACACACAAGCAAAATAGCTAAGGTAAGTGAGAAGGATGGGACTATACTGGTCAGTCGATTGGTTTCATAGGAATTTCATTGTTGATACTGGGTTCCTTCATTACCGGGGACTGCCGCTTCTGTCACACCGCGAGGTCATACCTATTCATGTGTCATTCTCATTGATCGGTTATTTACTCCCATATGGATCAGTGTCTGAAGTCTCCCATGAAGCACGCAGTTTCCCCATCACCCACATAGCCAGGAAAGCGAAGAATTGGAATTGATGCGGCGGAAGAGCAACCTTCCGATGAGGACATTACTGACAAGCCAAATGAAGAACAGAGAAGTACCTCAGCATGCTCGAATTCTACAAGTCTCCGTATAAGTTCAGGTCAAACAACCAGTAGAGATTTCTATAAAGCGTTAAGTACCACGAAAGCTACATGGAGTCGAGATTTATAGAAGCTGAAGATTTGCGTGTATGATTTGCGCGAGATCCTTCCAAGTTATATGTTCAATTAAATATACACGATTTTTTTGAAATGAAAAATTTATGTCGCAGGCGGGATTCGAACCCAAGACGTTTGGCTCAATACCGTTTACGAAAACGGCATTTGGACATACTAAACCTACAATACATTCAGGTTCGGCAAAACTGTATCGCAATTATTTCAGGTGGGTCGGCCGATCCCGTTGGGGTAAACAGGGGGAAGACAGGGCGAATTAGCCCCAGTTTCCTCGAGGACGTGGACTTTTTCAAAATTATATCGATGATATTGGTTTTTATCCACGTCCTCCAAGATATCTTACTCGCCATGTTATCACAGAAACTAGTTTAACTGAGCTGATGCATGATAAAAGTTCTAGATCATATTGGATTTGTTCCACAACAGTCTACAGACAAAATCGGCGATTTTTCTATAAACAGTTGTGCCATTTTGTCTACGAGTGTGTACTAGCCTTTACATTTCCAGGAAGTCATAGAGAATTTTTTTTTATTAAGACTATCAATTTTTGCTTTATTCAAACATAATTGTGTATATTAATTTAATATTTTTTTCAAGTTCTAGTGCTTCAAAGGTCAACTATACTTGTATGACTATTCAAACTATTCAAATTATATTGAAACAAAATACTAACCATCATTAAGAAAATCTTGAAAATTTCTTATTCCAGCTTTCAACTGATCAATATGTTCCTGTTTGACCAGTGGCTGCATATTTTCTACAATGATATAAGGCCTAAAAATAAATTTATTTTTGTTTAATAAATAAAATTCATTTGAGACCAATTGTACAATTTGGCCTGTTCTTACCGACACAATCTGCCCCCATCTGTACTTATGTAAACCGTTTTATGGTTGTGATTCGGATAGATTGAAACGAAACCATTGATTCGACCACACCTTCTTAAAAGCCGAAATATCTTAATAAAGCGCCTGTAGTTTCCTGTTATACCTAAAATATTTCCTGCAAAACAAAAATTATTTCTATAGAAAATTAGACTATTGCGTATATATTTAGTTATATTATTAAATACCGTTAATTATAACTGCATAAGTATGAGGCAAATGAATTTCTTCTCCATTCAACAGGCCAATGCCTTCGACACCTATATTGTGAGCAATTTGGATAATCGGTTCTTCTTCTACCTCAGTTGTTATATGAGTCATCAAAGCTAAATTTTTCACTAAACCACAAGCCTAAAATGTTAATTAAAAAAACAAAAAGAAATTAAACTAAAATATACGATTTTATATAAATATTTACACATACTTCTCCTTCAGGAGTATCTGAGGGGCAGAGCATGCCCCATTGTGAAGGCTGCAAAGATCTCGGGCCGGATACCTTTCTAGATTTTTCAAACTGCGAATTTACTCTTGTCATCATGCCAAGTGCTGAAATGTACGAAAGACGAGAAAGAACTTGTGTCACTCCGTATCTTTCCATTTTGAACCGTTTAATAGTCCAATTGCCCTTAATCAAAAATAGTGTGTTTCAGTGTTCAACAAAGTTTTAAAAAATTTTATACAACAAATATTTTTCTTACTGTTAAAATAGCAAAAACTAATGCATTAGTTATCAAATCTTGTCTCATGTGCTTTACGATATCAAATTGGGCTGCTTTTATTTTTGGTATATTCTTATCAGCGATGGTTTTTAACTGAAAGAAAATTGTTTAATCATTTTAAAAAATTCTTGATAGAAATTATCGATGAAATACCTCAGCGTTGAATCGTTTGAAAGCATCTTCGAACATTAGTGACAAAAGTGAGCCTGCAAGTTCCAACCTTTTGTTACCGTAGTAATCTTTGTCATCAATTAAATTTCGGTTCGATTCTGCTAGAATGACCCTTCGGACCATGAGTGCCATGTATACAGCCTTCTGTTTAAAACTGAAATTTTGAACCTAAAAGAAAAAAGTTTTTCTTGTTCTTAATTTGACTTTAAGCAGCATATAAAATTACATTTTAATGGATGTTCAATATGAATTGGGAATAAAATGTTAAGGAAGAACAAAAAGGTTATGCAGTTTGTGAAAATTCCCATCACATAAAATTACTTAAATAAAAGAAAAACGTGTCAAATTATACTTACAGGTACATGAGCAAGGATAAATTGAGTTAGGAGATCTCTCGCTTCATCAACAGGGTTTTTAGGTTTGCCAGAAGGACTTAGAAAACGTTTCTGCTTTGTTCTTTTCCCAATGTAACTTTAAAAAAAAAAATTAAATAAATATAAAAACTATAAAAACAAACATTAAATGTAGTAAGTATAAATAGTAAAGAAGTTCCTATTAAGCAAGGATGTCTTCACATCAAATTACTGATTTGGTGTCATGGGCGAGTTTGTATAAAATACTTTTTTTTCTTTCAAATAATTCTCATAGAAAAGGCCAATGCCAAGAATTTCATCTAGAATTGCTAACCTGACAAACTGGCACTGTGCATGCTAACAATTTTGACACAGCAGTCCCTCGATTTAGATATATGTATACATGTTGTTATTCCGAACTACTAAAGGAAGGGAAGCTTTATTTATGCTCATGCGGGAAGTGGGGAAAAAAAGTCTTTCAAAATCTAAATTTCCACTCGCATTTTTAATTTGAAACCTTTCTGAACAAATTTGGTTCTGTATCTGTATATCTTTCTGTGGTTCATTGTACTTGCAAAACTCTGAAACCATGAGACCAATTGTTTTTAAATATTCAGACATTGTGCTGGTTGGTTTGTTGATGGTCTCTCATGAATTTCCTACGGTTTTCCTGATCAACAGTATCATCTGCACATGCACAAATCCCAAATACAGCTTATCTCCAAAACCACTACATTTATTTTGATCAAATTTGCAAGGATTATGCCAGTCAGTTTCCAGATAGTCCCCAATGAATTTCATCACGATCATATCAACAGTAATGCCTGAGCATGTGCAAAAGTAAAATCGCATACACTCTATGTCTATGAAACCATTACGCAGGTTGCTTTCTAGATGATCCCCTATGAATTTATACGAAACGAATTAACATGCACAGAATGTGAGGAAGCTATGCTGCCCATCCACTTGACAGAAGTTTAATTTTGACTAAATACATCATCAAAATGGGGGAGGGGGTAGTAAAAATCTCTTGAAATGGTCAAAATTCCTACACTCATGAAACAACTTGACAGACCCCCATCTTGGAGTGGCAAAAAATGATCTGGACCATAACTTACAAATTGCTGAGGCTGGAACTTGACATTTTACAAAGAGGAAATAAAGTAAATGGTTAATTCAAGGTGACCATTTCCATAATTATGAGTATAAAAAAATGTATAATATAAATTTAAATTGTTTTAATGTTTTCATTAATACATTTAAAAAATAGTACTGTAACGTAGAATTTATTTCTATTACTTGTTGTGCTTGTTATATAACTGGATATTAAAAAACAATCAAGGATAAAGCCAATAGGCTAGTTTTTTGCTTTAATCTAAGTTTCAAAGTCTCAATGAAAGGGATTATTCTGTAAATTATATATTCCTAGAAAACTTGACGAAGAAACTGAAATTTTATTTTCAAATGCATTATCAAAATTATAAAATTGAGCCCTGAAACTAATATCAGAGCATGTTGTATATTTAATTTTTATTAACAATACATATTAATTTTTTCTCAGAATGAAAAATTGAACTATTAATAAATTACAATTAATTGGTCAAGTGGACCACTAAATTAGTGAATTTAACTATTAATAAAATTGCATTTTTTCATTTAATAAACCTTTGTTTAATAGTAATACCTTAGCGCTTGTTCTTGCGTAAAAACTCCAGCGGTGTAACATTCTTCAAGCGAGGGTGCAAATTTAAGTAGAATATCCTGTTCTATTCCTATCATTTGCATTATGTGCTGATCAGAGCAGAATCCCATGCCTTTGAAAATAATCGTAATTGGGATTTCCTGTCACATTGAAATTCAAGTTATTTAAAAATTCAAACTTGAACGGTCTAATAGATTATATTTACGTCTTGAAGAGAATTGTGTTTTAAATAATATTTTCCTCTTTTCACAATAACTAAAGTCCTTGATTTTTTGTCATGAGTGCTACTAGTGACCTGGCAGCATACACTGCCATTTCTATCCTCTTCAATTATCATTCTATTCCTTGATAATTGTTCTTGGATCAAAATGACCTAAAAGTATAAAATTTTGTTTAAAATTTAATGTATTTATGAAGTGTTTAAAGTTTTACCTTTTCGGTTCCTCTGACGATGAAATAACCGCCTGGATCATGCGGGCACTCGTTCATTTTTGAAAGCTCGTATTCCGATTTATTCGATAAGACACAGTTTGAACTTCGCAGCATAATCGGCATTCTGGAAAAATAAAACTTGCAGATTCTGATTGTACATTAAATAAAAGCCTATTCACCTTCCGATGATAAGATTGCTCCTCGAGACTCTTGTGCTACCTCTTGTGTATTCAATATCTACAGTGATCGGGGCGGAATACGTCAGATCCCTGAGGCGACACTCGTGCGGTGTTGTTGACCTTGTTATATTGAAGCCCTCTTCAATGTCAGGCATTCCAACATAAATGTTCATATATCTAAACATAAAAAAATATTTTAAAAAATAAATGAACTCTAGAAATGCGTGTAAGGTGATTGTTTTAAAAATTACTTTAAATAAAACATGGGGTCTGCATCACTCAATACTTTCTCGTTCGCCTTCACAATCTTTTTAATTTCAACGCCAATGAAATAATTGAACGAATCAATGTGTTGTCGTACAAGTCCTTTAACGTTTAAAAATGCAGGGACTAGCTTCCATTTATCCTGGGAACAATAAACAATAAAAAACATTTAAAACATAACCATTATAATTTTGAGCAGCTCAGTTGTAATGCAGCTTAGCTTTCAATGCATTTATTCTTATAATATAAATTTTAATTTGATGAAAAGAATTTAAAAGAAATCATATTTGTATAGACAATTTGCCTTTAGACACGAGGGTTTGCCATGTCTATTTTTAAATATTATGTAGTTAACGATACGAATTCAACATTTCTTAACATTGGCATCTTATAATATTTTAAAACAATTACAAGAGGCAACATAACAAACAACATAGCTCCTGCAATTTGGTCATTTCTGAACAGTGTGGAAAAAGAAATCTTACAATAATGTTTTTGCAACACTCTCTTAGTTAAAAACATGAATAATTAAAGTACAGAGTTGCAGGGTTGATTTTTAGTTTTCGGCCACTCAAATATTTTAAAACTAAACTAAAAAGTCTCAAATGTTAAAATAAAAACTGAGTGTGAGTAATACAATATTAAGTTCGTTTTACTGGAATTAGCAGTAAGAAGTTACAGCTTGGTCATTTTTGTTGCATATCCTTGCAATGTTTTACTCTGTCAGACACGTTCTGCTTTTCACCATCACCCAAAAAAATTATTTTGTTTCAATATATGCTTCAGACGTTTGAAAAGGCTATATTGTAAAATTTCTTTTTGACACTAATCAAATAAATAAAGCCGAAAGGAGTCTGACATATCAAAACAGTGAGTATATGCAGACCAATTTGAAATGATCAAGCTACCAGTTCATCATCCATAGACCTCAGGAAATATCAAAATTTAACAAGTAGAGAGTTTGCCTGTGAGTCTGGTATCGTAATATATTGAATAGTATAATGTGAAAGCAACTCTTTTAACAAGATTTAAAAAAACTGTGTACAATCTGGTGAATTGTCAGTAAAGGTACTTCCACATGAACCAAGGTAACCTAAGGAAGAATACGCTGTCCTGTTTTTCTTTTAATTGCCAATCTATGTATAATAATTGTGTAAGACAGTGATTTACTCTCAGCTATGTGGAAAGCTTCTTGGTCACCCCTTATAGGCACGATTCTGAAAAACGAGCATTGCTAAGTATACAGAGACTTCAAACTCGGATGCGACCCCTGTGGATTCACTTTGACAAAGCCTTAGCGCTGGTATACGAGCTGGAAAACAGGCCCATGCCTCCGTGAATCATCTCACTCGATATGATCTTGGGTAATGGCCAGGTCACCACACCTCTGCCACGCTGAGTTCCTAGAACTCAGATCAGAGTACGCCTCGTTTTTATGGATGGGTCTAAGATTGGTGACGGTGTATTTTATGCCACGTAGAGAGGCTCATACACTTCATAGATGCTCCTACGAAGCTACAGTGTATACATGGTAGAGTTGTATGCAATCTGGTTTATGCTCGGGGTGATTCGAGATGAAGGAGCAGTAACTTATCGTGTGAGCGGTTTCAGCTGTGACATATTCTCACTGGGCATTAACATTTCTAATTTGTTGAAGTTGTTGCTTGAACTCAACAGCGTAGAATGTTGATTAAAGAGTACATTCGAAACAATAAGAGATCTTCCTGGAAGAAGGCGACCTGATCCATGCCGTTTTGAGAAACCTCCCGTATCTTCATAGCGATGGGAGACCCTTCTGACTTGTTCTGGGACTGTTAAACACCCTGGCCACATACGCTTGACTTCTTCCATCTTCCAACAATTCTAGCTGAATTTGAATCACTTAAAACTATCACTCAACCAAATTTGAAAATTAAAACTGGTACAAATCAAACCACCGGCCAAGAAAGAAGTTTCAGAAGAAAGCCAACAAAGAATAGATTGACTATTCAACAATTTATTTACAAAATCTAAGTGGAATATTTTATCTGCATCTTATTTGCCTCTAGTCCTTTAAAACAGACCAAATATTATTGCAATATAATCAATGTCTAAGAGATAATTAAGAATATTTAGGGTAGCCACTTTTTTTGCTTCACAGTGTATGTTTTTTGAACTATACAGTAAAAATAACTCACTTCAATCGGTTTAACAGGATAAACGAAGTCTTTGCCACGGTGTGTACCACCGCCTTTTCCCGAATCGCCCATTATTTCTTTAAAAAATATTTTATTTTGACCGGGCCAGTTCACACCAGTTCACATGTCACCATGTTTTGAACTTGAAAAACATCAGTGAGCAACAGGTTTAGGTTACAAATCATCATAACAATGATGATAACCTTAAGAATAAAAAAATAAATATATATTTTTTAATTGAATATGCTGTAATATCATAAAATTAAAATATATGTATATTAAGAATATTTAATTCAAAAAGTTATTGATCAGTTCGAAAGTAAAAAAAAAACAGTATGTATATCTCTTGAATATTCTCTACTCTCTAGAACAATACGTAAGCAAAACTGGGAGGTTTCAATTTGACAAATCAACCCTCGTGTAAAATAATTGTTGAAAATATTTTAAAAACCAATTTTATTTGTATATAAAACCAAAAGTAAATAAAACCAAATAAAATAATAATTGGTATTCGCTACTGCATTTCATAGACAGCTTAAAAAAGATAATCAATGTAAGATTCTTTTTTAATACAAATTTACAATTGTTTTTAATCTTTGGTTTTATTATTACAGATGGTAGTCGAAGGAAGCCTGACCCCTGAAGAAAAGCATCGCCTTATTTGCAGAAACCTCCAGGAAGTCTTGGGTGATGACAAGTTGAAGGAAACCCTCAAAGAGAGAGACGTTAAGGTCTACTGGGGCACTGCGACCACTGGAAAGCCACACATAGCTTACTTCGTGCCCATGTCGAAGATCGGTGACTTTCTTAAAGCTGGCTGTGAGGTTCGTTCATTTGAAAAACTCATTAAGGCATCTTGATCTGTAGCAATAGTGTTTTTAAAGGTGACTATTCTATTTGCCGATCTTCATGCTTGTCTCGATAACATGAAGGCACCTTGGGAAGTCGTCGCTTTGAGAACGGAGTATTATGAGCATTGCATTAAAGCGATGTTGACATCCATTGGTGTTCCACTTGATAAGTTGAAGTTCGTCCGTGGTACTGAGTACCAGCTATCAAAGTAATAATTTTAGCCATATATGTGCATAATATGACAATGATCGACTTTCCTTCAACAGGGAATATACGTTGGATGTCTACCGGCTGAGTTCAGTTATTACAGAACATGACGCAAAGAAGGCAGGAGCTGAGGTTGTCAAACAAGTTGATCATCCTCTCCTTTCTGGATTACTTTACCCAGGTTGGATCTATAATTGTGATTGTATTCAGTAGATACTAGGTTAACGTCATCTCAGTTTATGTTATTTCATTATTAGCTGAAGGTCATGGGTTCGAATCCCCCTAGTGATACTAACTTTTTCATTTCAACCAAGACCTTACATTAAAAAAAAAATAATAATAATAATAATTGAAAGAAGTAATTTGGTCAATCAGACCACTAAACATAATGGAGTTATTTCATTGTTTTTTTTTTTTTTTTAAATTTTACAACACAATGTTCATTTATTTATTTGAATTCTTGATTCATTTTATTTATTTTAAAGGTACAAATAGGGCCCCTTGCATGTACATATATTAGAAATAAATTTAGTTTTATAAACATAGTAAAATAATAATAACAGCAATAGTAATAAAAGTCTCAAAGCTATCAAAAATAAATTCCTGGTTGTACCATACATTTTTTAAATTCACAAATACCTCTATGAAATCAAAACACTTAACAAACATATATTTTTTTGGGTTTCTGGTCATGTTGGAATTTCTGGAAATGAAAGAGCTGATCAATAGGCATGGAATGCTGAAAACCATCCACAAAGAACAGATCAATTTCCTCTCCGCCCAGATGATATAGTCGTTTATGTTAAAAACATTATCAAACGAACGAAAGTGGGCGGCCAGGTGGAAAATATGAAAGAAATTAAGCCAGTTGTACATAAATGGCCAACTGAGGAACTTGAGAGAAAAGAACTTGTGATTCTCTCTAGACTGCGAATAGGTCACATCAGGCTAATCCATAATAGGCTTTTAATATGCAACAACCTTCCAACTTGTCCTCAATGTATGCGAAGTGGAAAATGTATCATTCTGACAGTAAAATATATTTTGGTCGAATGTCGCACTTGCAACCCTTTAGGCATAGGCTCAATGTTTTGAGCGATTTAAAAGAGTTTTTAAGTCCCCTGTGTTTGTTTCGAAGAGCACTTTTCAGCTTTCTTAAATTTATTGGAATTTATAATGATATTTAGGCCTTTTCCGAAATCATTATACGTTTCAATGTTTGTCTGCTAGTGTCTGAATGAGAGTTCTGCGTGCAAGATTTCTTCCTTTTAACAGGAATTTTTGAGGTTGTTGGAGCAGAAAAATGAAAAAAAAAATTGCAGGGTAATAACTACAATGTCCAAAATTGCAATTTAATAAGGAAAGATTTTTTTAGAAATTTTTCCAATGTTTCGGTGACATTTCTTTAAGTTTCATAATTTAAACAACCAAGAAGAAATATATGTTTAAATGGTATATTATCAACTATTTCAAAACTGTATTTTAAACTTTTATTGCAGGTTTTTTAAAATAAACTTTGTTATAATTTGTTTTATTTTTATAATCTGAAACCAATCATGTACCTTCATTTGTTTTCATTCATTTATTTTATTTATTTTTTTAAATATTATTATTAGCACTTTATGTTATGATTGAATAATTAATTGGATGTGGTCGGAGGTTAAAAATTTTACACAGTTCATTGATTTCCTGTAGAAATTTATTGACCTTTTTTTATGTTACTTTAAATTGCAATTTATTTTGTTAGGCTTGCAAGCCCTCGATGAGGAATATTTACATGTTGATGCTCAATTTGGAGGAATTGATCAAAGGAAAATCTTCACCTTTTCCGAGAAATACCTTCCGCAGCTAGGTTATGCTAAAAGAATTCACCTCATGAACCCCATGGGTATTTATTTTGTTGTATTCAATTTTATGAATAAAGTTTTTTTTTAAGAAATGTATTTTGCATAGTTCCTGGCCTTGCTGGTGGAAAAATGTCTTCTTCTGAAGAAGATAGCAAGATTGATCTTATCGACTCACCGTCAAACGTTAAAAAAAAACTGAAAAAGGCTTTCTGTGAGCCTGGAAATGTGGCGGACAATGGAGTACTAGCGTTTGCTAAACATGTTGTTTTTAGTGTTTTAAAACCTGGAGAAAGTGAGTTTTTGTATTTTAAATAAACTCTATAACTAGCTAATTTTTTTCTTTCCCTTTAGAGTTTTTAGTTGAAAGGAATGAAGAACATGGTGGAAATTTAGAGTTCAGCAACTACGAAGAGCTTGAATCTTCCTTCGCTGCGGAAAAACTTCACCCTGGTGATTTGAAGGCTTCGATTGAATTTTATATTAATAGACTTTTACATCCGATACGTCAAGTTTTTGAAAAGCCTGAGCTTAAAACCCTTGCAGCAAAAGCATATGCACCTCCAAAAAGTAAGCATTTTTGATAATATTGGTTTTTATTTCATTGAATTTTTGTTTGTTTCGTTTTAGAAACTGCACCTAGTGATGATGAAGTAAGTCCTTATCGACTGGACATCCGAGTAGGGAAAGTTGTTGAAGTCACACAGCATCCGGACGCAGACGCTCTCTATGTTGAAAAAATAGATCTTGGTAAAATATAATATTATTTACACTGTAAGGTTTGTATTAATATTTTTCCCTAAGGTGAAGGTGAATCAAGGACTATTGTCAGTGGATTAGTACAATATGTTCCTAAAGATGAGTTGTTAAACAAAAATGTTGTCGTTTTATGTAATTTGAAACCTGCTAAAATGAGGGGTGTTTTGTCAGCTGGGATGGTTCTGTGTGCTTCGCAGTAAGATATTAAATTTAAACAGTTAATTTTTACAAACACTAATTTTTACTTTTTTTTACAGAGAAGCTGATGGTAAGAAAGAAGTAGAACTGCTCATACCTCCTGAAGGTTCAAATCCAGGTGATCGTGTGTTTGTAGACAACTATGAAAATGGTAGTCCTGATGAAGTGTTAAATCCTAAGAAAAAAGTTTGGGATAAACTTCAAGTAATAAATTTAAATTATGATTACTTTTTGCTTTGTTTTAACGCTTTATTTTCTTGTTTTCGAAGATTGATTTGAAGACTTCAACGACATGCGAGGCTATTTGGCAAGGCAACAACCTTTTGACATCTAAGGGAAAAGTACTGTGCAAGTCCTTGAAGAACGCACCGATTAAATAAAATATTAATTATTTATTATGCTTTTTTTCATTATTGAGATTAAACAAATATGTTTTATATATATTTTTATTGCAATTTTTTTTAAATTTCACTAATTACCAAAATCACCTGTTGAAATAATTTAAGCAACTCAAGATTCTTAATTAATAGTAGCAATATACAATTAAATAAACTTTGCTGCTCTAATCATATAATCGTTGTAGACAATATCCCAGTGTAAGAAATCTTCAATTGTATCTTTGTAGGTCCTTGTGAAAGCAACAATCAAAAAATTGATAAAATAGGATTAGGTCTCTGTTCAAACTGTCCAAATCTTCAAGAAATTGTATATGTTTGGGAAACAATGTTGCTGTTTTCATGAAACGCGGCCTTTATTCTGCCCAAGGAAAACTATGTTGATTGCCTCTAATTTAACTATTTTTAAGCATCAGTCATTCAGAATAGTTGATATTCCTGCAGCACTGAATAAGTAAAAAATAAGCTAAGCGTCAATAGGTATGTATTTAATTCTGACTTCGACCTACATAATCTTAAGAATTGCTTTGGTTCTAAATGAGTGCAAGCCATGACACCTTTCGGTCTAGTCCATGAGGTTTAACAGTACAGTATACTTTAAATTCACTAATTTTGTGGTCCGCTTGACCAATTAAATCATTACAATTAATTAAGGTTTTTAGTTGAGATGAAAAAAAGTCAATGGCACGAGCGGGATTCGAACCCACGATCTTCGGCTAGATACGCTGCTGCTTTGCCACTTGAGATATCATGACCTCGATCCATTCGGATATCAAATTCCTATCTCAACCCCACCTTATGAGTTTTCCCTCCTTTTTGCCATTTTTCAAATGTCATGTAATCTGTTTGGGTTCTCGAATTGGATTGAAAAATGGCAAAAAGGAGGGAAAACTCATAAGGTGGGGTTGAGATAGGAAGTTGATGTTCGAGTGGATCGAGGTCACGATTGCTCAAGTGGCACAGCAGCGGCGTATCTAGCCGAAGATCGTGGGTTCGAATCCCGCTCGTGCCATTGACTTTTTTTCATCTCAACTAAAAACCTTAATTAATAGTACAGTATACATTGAGCTTTGGATATTAATGTATAAGATTTTTGCTCTCAAAAACAATAAAAGACCCTGACACTTGCTGTTTTATTTTAGCATTGATGCTTGAAACAATTTTCTAGTGACTACATGGGACCAAGGCATAACATCCTTAATTATTAGTAAGTTGTTGCCTAGATGCTAGCTAAGTATGTTTCCCACTGTGACACTGGTTCTCCATACTTCCTAGCAAAGTTGTGCTTTTCCTTGTCAACTTAAAAGTAGTGAATGCTTGTGAACCATCCTGACTCAAGAACACTGCAGGGATACACCAAAACCACTCTACAGCACCCTGATGGGCTTTCTTCGGGTCCTGCTGCTTCCGAACAGAAACTTTTATTTCATAGGCTTCACTATGAAAAGTAATATTTTTTTTATGTATCCACAACTTCCTCTTAGCTAATTACCAATGTTTGGCTTAAGACGTATTGTGGTGTAAGTACGCTATTTATTCTACGAGCATTAAATTATGGCAACTTCAGATGTATTATATGTACATGGTCATGGAAAAATATGGTGTACAGCATAAATTTGTTGGTGGTTTAAGATTTGGGTGTCTTATATTTCCAAAAAATATTGTTATTTAGATAGTAAATAAAAATAATATAATAGGATTGAAACCGGAATGTTTACTAAGAATAGGATTTTTTTTCTTTTTAACAAGAATACATGAACCCTCGAGGTGCCAGTGTTTTTGAAAAAAAATTGTATGTAGAGTTCAAAAGCAGATAGTCGATTCAAACCCAGGACCTTTTCCTTACAGTAATGACCGCCATGTCACACCTTACCGTTGCGGCCACTGATAGAGTATAGGATTAGTCGCAAAACAACAATGCAAAGCTCGCCAAATAAAAATGTTCGGCCCATTTATTATTCTTTAACGCTTGATTTTCATTTAATTCCTAATAGTTTTTTAAAAATGTACTTGATGGATTTAATCACAAGGGTAATAAAAGATATGTAATAGGGTATGAGCAACTTCAAAGTTGGAAAAATTCTTCTTTAGTTCATTCCACGATGGACAAAAATTTTAACTAGTACAGACTACCAAAAGGTCATGAAGAAAAAAGTTGAAAAAGTAAAAATATAGACAAGTGTTAAATTATATTCAGCTGTCAGTTGAGTCTCAAATAAATGTTACTGTAGAGGCTAGAGAAAGCCTCGAAATGCATTTAAATAAAAGCATATGTAATAACGTTGAAAAAGCTTAATAATATCACCCAAACTCATGGAAAATTTTCTTTTTTTTAGCTTATTCACCATTTTCTTTACCTTAAAAAGTTCAGATCAGCACTCGACCACTCCTCAGTCTTTTTATTATTTGTGGGAGATTTTCGCCTAGCTCAATTAGGCAATATTTTATGTGTTAATCATTGTTATTCTATGTTTTTAATATATTTTGGATATTACACAAGTATAATTAATCAATAATAGTAATAATTAATTATTCTTTTTATGTAAGGTCTTGGTAGGAAAAATTAGTGCCACAAGCGGGATTCAAACCCATGATCTTCGGCTCAATACACCGCTGCTCTAACAACTTGAGCTATCGTTAGAAAAGTGGCGTATTGAGCCGAAGGTTGTGGGTTCGAATCCCGCTCGTGGCACTAATTTTTCCTACCAAGACCTTACATAAAAAGATTAAATTAATTAAAAAAAGTAATCAGACCTCTAAACAGAATGAATAGTAATAATGCTCACCCAGCTTGTCAATGTAATCATAAATATTTTGTTCCATGCTTTGTAGTAGTTTTTTATGTGTTAATAATTGTTATTATAGTTTTAATATATTTTGTATTTTAAGGAAGTTTAATTAATAATAGTAATAATGTTCACCTGACCTGTCAGTGTAATCATAAATAATTTGTTCCATGCTTCGTAGTAGTATTTTATGTGTTAATAATCGGTATGCTATGGTTTTAATATATTTTTTATATTATGGAAGTATAATTAATTAATAATAGTAATAATTCTCGCCCAGCTTGTCATGTGTCATCACTGAAGTTTCTGACGTCGATTGCACAGGGATTGGGCCGACATGTTCAACATGTAGCCGTTGTACTTCGCGTTGCTTTTGATGATTGATGCCAGTCGCAAGAGCAAGACGTCCAAACGCGGATTTGGACTGGTACATTCAACGCATTTCAGACCCGGGCATATCGTTGAACGTCCCTAGTACACTTGCAGGCTCTAACGCACTCGGCTAGCAAAGAAATCATGAGCAATAACAGCAGCACTGCGCTTTTCGCCTGCTCCAAGTGCTTCACAAAGCATCCATTCGAAGAGCTTTCGTCCGGACAGCAGCTTTGCAAGGTGAGCTTTCTTCCTCCGCCTCGGTTTTTTTTTTTTTTTTTTTTTTCAAGCGGGTTTTCCTTTCGATAAGAAAACCCTTTCGTCCTGAGGGAGGAAGCGGCCCCTACGCCTACTAACGGCGAGGAGAGTCGACTCGGTTGATCAAGAGAGTAAACAATCTTGAGCAGGCTTCCTTTTGAATACTGCAAATCGTTTGCATAGAATTCTCGTCCAAAAATGATTTTAACGTGATTAATGAGAGCAAACGGCCGTGATTTTTTTTTAATTACACAAAATACTTTTAATTTATCCAAGCAAAATAAAAAATCCTTTATGTATTTTATTTTTTGTTTAATTTACATACTATTCTAGTTTTGATTTGCCTAAGATCTCAAAAACAGAAATTTTGTAAAAATTAACTAGCAAAAACCTATTGTTTTGTCTCATCCTTGAATTTGTAGTCATAACATAATATAATAACAATTAGTTTAATTATAGTGGGCGGGATTTAATATAATTTATTTATTGGAACGTGCAACGAATGTCAGAAATATTTTGGACAATTGAGGCCAAAATGTTTGTTTTGCAATTTTGCGGTTCCAAGCTTTTGACATTAATGAATTTTTTTTTACATTTACCTTAGTTCATCCTGGTCGTTTTTTTTTTAAATATTTTTTTTAAACCTCAGGTCCATTTCAGCATTTATACATATACAATAAAAGACACAAACCTGACACTTGCATTCATTTGTTTATTTTCCATAATTTCCAGAGCCATTTATCAAGTGAGTTAATTGGTTTTTTAAATAATTTTCTTTGATGCAGCAATTTTGAGTAAGCAAAGTTTAAAATGTGTTTTTAAGTCGAGAAGGTCTCATTCGGGCAGATTCTTTGACCAATAACGAATGTAGTGTCCGTTATATAGCCCAAGACCTGGGTGTGCTGCACTCCATCATACACGATGGTCTACAGCGGTTTAGGACCACCAGAAATCTCAATCGATGAGAGGTAGTGGTTGACTGTGATGTAAGATGGCTAGTGACAATCGTTTTATTGCTCTTTTCGCTCAATGGAACCATCATTTAATGGCTTTCTTGACGGTCAACTCTAAATCTCTCGAAGTCCCTAGACATCCTGCATCAGGTCCCCTACTACTGAAGAGGCATCGAGTAGAGAGGTGACTATTCGCAAATCAACAGTGGTGTTGTTTTGACAGATGAGTGCTGGTTTAGCTCAGACAGATGACCAGGGCCATGAGTCGAGAAGTCGTGGAGAATGCTCGGCTTCAAATACCATACACGAATCACAGCCTTTTCAAAGACAATGAGTTATGGTATGGGGTGGAATCAACATCCATGCCTGTACCAAACTGATGGATCTTTGTCTGCACTATGGTACACTGAAGAAGTGTTGTCCTATTCACTCCATTTATTGGGGACCAATGCATGATAATGCTCAACCGATGTAGCTTGAGTTGTCACCCATTTCTTGGAGGAAGTTGGGATTACCAAAATTAATTGGTTGCATGTTAGTTTTTGGTCAATAGACCACTAAATATAATGGATTTATTAATTAAAATAATAAATTGTTATCTAAAATGAAAAATTACAACAAATGCGTTAATTTATACGTACACAATCAATTGAATAATAAAATGAGTAAATAGATTTAGGATAAAACAGACTCATTAACGATGCTAAAGAGCCAAGACTTTTTTGTGCAGGAGGAAATATGTTAAGCCATTTGGGGCTGATGAATAGAAAATAATTTAACTAAGTGTACATTTAGCCCATGGATATTCAAGTTGTCCAACTTAAACATGAATTCTTTCCCAAAACAATACATACAGATCGTAGACCAGATTGATCATGGGATGGTCAAACTAATTTTGTACATTACCCAGGCCCTCCCACCTCTTCTTATTATTTCCACTTATAATATTGCAAATGTTCAATGAAATAGTAATAATGGGGTAGTCCATAGTGAGACTATAAAAACATATCACATATTAAAACTACGTTTGGAAACAACTCCAGGGTTTCTAGAGGGAAAAATTGGCTTTTGGCCTTGTCCTTTGGGTTCAAATTCAGGGCTGCTTAAATTGAACTTGTAATCTTCCCAGTGATGAGTTCCTGTGTCAACGCCTTAACCCTTAAGTTTGAGCGCAGTCCGTAAAGCAATGTTTGTTTATATAATTGTGTGCAAAAATATTTTATTTATAATCATTAGAAAAGAATTCATAATATCTTATAAGACCTGTTTCTTTATAATTCTATAATTAGTTCTTTTGAGTTAGGCTGTGAATCACGGTTTTGGAGAATTGTTATCAAATAATGATTTTTGTAGCCTGAAGATGTTGAGATATTTTGTATAAATGAAATTTGCTTGCGCTTAACACTTAAAGATTAAAATTGTAGATAGATTTTTGTAAAACTATTCATAATTTTGAATTGGTCAACATACTTTAAACTCGACTTTGAACAAAACTGACTCCAAGAAAGAATAAATACAAGTAATTAAGGTTTTCTGTTGAGATAAAAAAGTCAATGGCACGAGTGGGATTCGAACCCACGACCTTCGGCTAGATACGCCGCTACTCTACCACTTGAGCTATCGTGAACTTAATCCACTCGGGTTCGAATCCCGCTCGTGACATTGACTTTTTTATCTCAACTGAAAACCTTAAATAATTGTAAGATATTAATTGGTCAAGCAGACAACGAAACTAGTGAATTGAATAAATACAGGGTTTTTTAGAAATTCAGTTAAATCCCTTTTCTTTCATTAAAAGTTCACAGGTGAATCAATATTCTTGACTTTGCTGATGACTACTTTGCTAATGTCTACATAAATGCTAATTCTAATGATAAAATTGACGGCATAGAAATCCAAGCGCAATGCTTGGAAAATATTTTATACCAAACATATATGGTGTAACAATCTTTGTCAATATATAATGTAATATTTGAAAGTTTGTACTTTTTTATTGTAATAATTTTATTGGCTTAGTAGACCTGTTGGATGTTTAGGATTGTAGGATTAAGTAGGAATCAAAATTATTTTTGCGAACTAGTAACTGCAAAATTTTAAAAAATTGACATAACCCTTTTGGATTTTTTATTCAGGAAAACTGAATAGTTTAGAAAGCAGATTTAATATTTATTGTTTAACCAACTTTATTTGGCAGTGACAATTATGAATTGTGAATAAACTAAATTGTTGAGGCTGATTTATTTGTTCACAGGACTGTCGAGGGGCTTTCCCAGTAGTAAAATGTACTTATTGTAGATCAGAATTCCAGCAAACAAAGTAGGTAGTACCGTGTTTTGATTTTATTTTCGAAGTTTCACAGCTTTCTTTTTTATCGCTCATTTTTCCTATCAATAGTAAAACTAGTACAAGCACTATTTGCACCAAGTGTGAGCATAATGTGAAGCATTTTGGGAAGCCCACTGCCTGTGAGTACTGCAACATAATTGCAGCCTTCATAGGGAACAAATGTCAAAGGTGTACCAATTCTGAACGAAAATACGGCCCGCCTGTCACTTGCGAGCAGTGCAAACAGAAGTGCGCTTTCGACAGAAAAGATGACGACAAGAAGGTAACATTTGAATATTTTACAATCCCGTCAGTTTGGTAATACTAGCATGTATAAAAGAGTTTCAACCCTTTAGACAAATTCATTGATTTATCTAAATTTTTGTTTTTGTCCATTCATTTTTGTATTTTATGTGTATATTAGAATTGCTTTAATTGTTCCTTTTAACATCTTTTTCAGGCAGTATTTTTCTACAGTCTGTACTGTTCTAAATGGCTTCATTCTTCTGAATAAAGCTTTTTCTGGGGCTTACCCTACTTTTTACCTTTTCAGGAAATGCTTTATTTGGGACAACTCATGTTGGGTGATAGGCAAATCTAATTGGTTTTATTTTATGTGTATTTTCCATCATTTGTGAGGCTTGGAACTTTTAAGACTAATTTTTTTTATACATATGTGTTTTAATTACAAATTATTTTTTTGCAATAAATAACCTTATAATATATTAAGTTTCTACGATATTTAGTTTTAATAATGTTGTTTGCCTCTTAATAATGGTATCATATGTTGAGATTATCTTTTGAATTAATAATTTTATTTAAATATTCTTTTTCAGTCACCCTCCCAAGATCCTTCCTTTCCAAGTTCTCCTTCCTCGATCAAGTTGAGTACACTACTCATATTGTACATTTTAAGTTTCTGTATATCTTAAGTATTTCATTTTTTGTTATCTAAGTTATTATATTTAAAATAAAAATGAATAGTGTTTTGTTGTGTGAAGTTATTCAATATGGTTGTTGCAAATCATTAGTTGAACGATTGTTTATTTGATAATTATAGGTCGATGGAAAGCTGCTATGTTGGCTTTGTACGCTCTCATACAAAAGGGCCTTGGCGAAGACAAAACAAACCGAATCCGAAAGAAGGGCACAGCTTAAATTGTCTTCTCGGCCGAGTAAAAGCAGAGATAGGTGAGACAATTAATAGCTCGAAATTGTTTTGATGCATTTCGTTTTTTTTGTTTTTAAAGGCTTAGGGGGCACAGCAAACGGCCGAGTCGAGTAGACGTGACAAAAGTTGACATAAGCCGTCATGATTCGAACGATTCGAGCTCACTACCTCCGGCGACCAAATTGGCCAGGACTGGAAACCACAGGCTGCCAGGCGATGTCCTTGACCCGCACTCTTCCGATCACGTTGTTGCAATGACACAACTGAAAGAACAAATGGCCTCAATGCAGAAACAGTTGGCCCAGAAGGATGCTTTGCTTTTATCAAAAGACAAGCAGGTACGAGCAAGTCTTATTAATTTCTGTCACATAAATAAAGTTTTTTTAAATTTTTTTAGATAACAGAATTGAAAGCCAGCCACTTTACAAACGAAACAGAACTTCGTAACAAAATGCTGAATTCAGAAAAGGAACATGAAAAGAAGGTCGAATCGATGTCTATTAAAATTAAATCCCTCCAGAAAGAAGTGGCGACGCTCACAAAATCAAACAGAAGAAATGCTCTCAAAGAAAACAAACTGAACAAAATTGACAATAACAATGACACAGCAAATAGTGGAAGTGGTACAGACAGTCCATTGCCTTAACATATTTATTTGTTTTATTTTTCAAGCAATGTAGAGCTGGCTCTCAATATTTTATAGTTAATCTAATTTTTTTCCCCACTTTTAAGACTACTTTCGGATGCTTATACAAATTTTTTAGCATATATTTTTTGAAACTAGATTGTTTTTATACAATGATAAAATCTAGATGAACATTTTTATTTTAGCTCAAAAGTGTAGACATATTTTAAGACATTCATTGGAGTTTTAAAATGAGGAATTTCTTTCCTTTAAGAGAAACATTGTTTATATATGTATTTTGAATAAATGTGATCGATTGTATTTTATCAGTATAATATTGTTTTTATCTCTGTAAATACTACTTATTTTTTAATAGCATTACTTAAATATTAATAATCTGGTGTTAATTTTTTCATTGTGTAATTGTTATACATATGAGATAGTTTCAAAAAATTGTAAATAAACGATTCTTGTATTTACATCGGACTTTGGCCCTAATATCCTTTGTCCATAAAACGTTAAAATTTTACTATTCATGTCTAGAATATATTTCTTATTTTGGCCAAAACTGGCTGTTTAGCGCGTTCCGAATATGTTTGGAATTAACTACCTCAATTGTAAGTTATTGTGCTTAACATTTACATGTGAATTTAATAAATCGTTGACTTGTAATTTGTAAGTGTATGTGGATTCAGTTTAGGATGTTACAATTTTTTTTTTTTTTAATAAAGATTTTATTTAGAAAATACTTTTTAATCATATTCTTTTGTCTGTATAAAATTAAATTGTATAAATTATTTGCGGGGTAATTACTTAAGTTAAAATTTAAAAACTGATTTTGAACGGGTCTAGTTGTAAAAACAAGATCATATCACTATCTGCAATCTTATCTGAGCTGGTTTGGTAGTAAATAGTTATAGATTTGAGAGTTTGTACTTAGTTTTGTTTAAATGTTGTAGTTAATTTTAAAACAGAAATAACAATAAAAAATTATATTTCCTGGAAATGACATGTCAGTATTTTTCTGAATCTTTTTCCCTAGTGTTTATTCGATGTTTGTGTCTCATGAAATGCACTATATTAGTGTTTATTTATTTATTATAATTGTTTAGCTTTTTGTTTTATAACTGATAATTATTGTACTTAGTACGAATTTGAAAATATTAGGAAAAGAAAGCCATTATAATAAAAAGAAATTAGTTTCAAATATTTGTTTCCTCTGTGAAGTAATCAAATGGGAAATGTAAATAAATGATTATATAAGATTAGCTTAATTCGTTTGGCCTGTTTTTCTTCTCCCACTTGTCCGTATCGGGCTGAAGGCATTGACCTTATTTCCAATAAACTCACACTTTTGTAACCTTTTGAAGTTTTAGCACAAACTAAAGTTTTCTAATGACCCCGAGATGGTACTTCAGTTCAGCTTCCAACATTTGTTCAAATACCCTGTCGACACTGTTATGACATCCTATATTAATATTCATAAGCATCAGGATGACTGTAAAGAAACTAAAGATCTCGGAACAACGATGGAAGGTATGTGTATCCATTATTTATTTTAAATAGTATATGCTTATGTGATACAACTTAATTGTAAGTCAATTTGTATAATTATATCATATTCTGTAAATAAGATTGGGCTTTGTGATCAAATTTAAATTTGTTAAGAAAAAGTACCAACAAATTGTAAACAGCTTTTGTTTTTACTTTGTTCTTACAGCCCGTTACAACCCAGTGATGATTTATTTTATTGTGTATAAATTCTGGCTGTATTGTTAACCTACAAACGTCCTATTTTCGTTTCTGAACTCTGTGGGTCATGTAACTCATTTTGAAAATGACTCCATCAATGCTGAATACTTCCAGAATTTACAAGCATAAATGTATTTTTTAGTTTTTTACGATGGTTTACAACTGTCATATCAACCCTTGAGGTGCTGGTGTTTTTAAACAAAGCCCAATTGCAAATATGTCGGGTTTGAAAGCAGGACGACTGGGTTTGAACCAGAAACCCTTACTGTCATGAGTGCTGGGTCAAAATTCAAACCATTGCAGCCACTGACGCCCCTCCATAAATGAATTTTTAAATACTTTTAAGTTTAATTTACACAGATACAGTTATTCGTTCCAAAGCTTATAATTATTTGCATTTTCGTAAAATATTGTTATATGGTGGCACTATTTATTCGTATGTAATTGCATGACTATGCTGGGATGTAATGGTTGTAGATGTAGATGTAGATGTAATTTCAGAGTATAGCATGCGCCCTTTAAGAGCTATTGTATCCCCCGTGCTTTGTCTAAAGCACATGCACATCGGTGAGTCCTATTTTATCAAGAAACTTGATTAATAGGCCTGGTTTCAATGGTTGAAGCTCTTCTATGGTCACATAATACATCCCAAAACATTTCTTCCTGCGGGCTAGTGTAGCTCCGCAGTTTGTTAGTAAATGTGTTGGTGTCTCTTCTGCCTCCTTGCAGAATCTGCATGTGCCATCTTGGATTATTCCAATTTTCTTTAATTGTCCATTTAATTTGCACTGTCCTGTTAGGAATCCTATTAGGATTCGCAGTCTGTTCCTGCTTCCTTTGACACATTCTGTAATTTCTTTCCTACCAAAATTGGTTAGAAGATTCTTGGATTGTCTGTGTCCAATGAGTGAATTCCATAGTCCCTCATTTTCTTTTTGTCCTTCTGTCTGAGATACTCGTTAATAGTGTGGATTCCTATGCCACAGAAGGGTTCAGGTCCTGTTAGCGGTATAGCACCCCCTTTTCTTGCAAGGGTGTCCGCTTTCTCGTTGCCTTCTACTCCCATGTGTCCTGGGACCTAGCAGAGGCTGACTTTATTCGGCATACCTAATATGTTTAGTTTGGTTTTGCAGTTCGGCACCATCCTTGAACTAATGATATTTGAGCTTAGTGCTTTGATGGCTGCTTGGCTATCTGACATGATAGCTATATTCTTGTTTTTGTACCTTTACTTAGGTTGAGTTGGGTACATCTTTTGATTGAATCTCAGTTTGGAAGATACTGGTGTGTTTTCCCATGTGTCCTGAGTATTTGGTTCCAGGTCCAAATACTCCTGCCCCTGTACCTTCTTGTGTTCTAGATCCATCTGTGTACCAAAGGATGGTGCCATTTTTAAAAGAGTTGTTTCACTCTCTTTCCCATTTTTTTTGGTACCTAGGTTTATTCGGAAGTTTTGGTTAAATTCAAACATCCTGTTCATGTCGTCTCTTGGAGCCATGAGTAACAGATGGTCTTTCCATAGTTTGTTGTTGTCTCTCCATTTCAGTTTTATTCCTGTTGGAGATTTCTCTTTGGTAAAGTTGATGATGGTTTTCTGTGCTGTCCTTATTATCACGCGATGTAGGGGGATTAATCCTAGTATCTTTTCCATGCTAAGTGTAGGACTCATGCTATGCAGATGCATGCAAGTCTCTGTATTTTTGTGAGTTCTTTTCTTTTAGTTACTTGTTCTGCTTTATCAGCCCAAGCTATAGCTCCGTATGTAAGTAAAGGGCTTACTATCATGGTGTTCATCCATAACAGGGTTTCCGGTCTGCATCCCCAGTTCCTGCTATTCTTCTGCACACCATCAAAGCTCGCATCGTCTTCGTGATGGCAGAGCCGATGTGTTTCTTAAATGTTAGTGTTTTATCTAGTGTGGTGCTCAGATATTTGACCTCATTTTTGATTTCTATCACGGTGTTATCGAGTGTTATTTCCCTCATATGATTACGTTTCCTTTTCCGTGTAAAAGTGACTATAGTTGTTTTATTGGGGGTTGATCCCCAAGTCAGCGGTTTTACACCATTCTTCTGTGATTTTTAGTCCCTCTTGGATAATATCGCAGAGAGTTTCCTCGAATTTTCCCCTGGCAGTCAGGACTATGTCATCCGACGTAATGGTTAGGGCAATACATTTTTCCTACACAAAGGTTCATAGTGAGTTTTTGATTTTAATTCAAATCAAACTGAGATAAGTCAATGCAGGGAAGGCATTTTCTTGGGTTTTCAGACAAAATTTGTAAACCAATAGATTGACAAAGTAAATGGACCGACTATTGTATTATGGTTAACAAATTTTTTTTATCCTTCTAATGTTTGATTTTTAAAGCCTTTAATAATTTAACCCTGGGGTAAGCTGCCAAGATACCACGGAAATTGTTTCGGATGATGAAATTTTTTTTTACATCAGTCAAATTAATAAAATCAGGAAGGTCAAACGATTTTCCAGGGCCAAATTATAACTCTTTTGTTGGTTTGGCAGTTGAAATTTTTTACAGACAGTGTCTGGAACTTATTAAAAATCAAACAGAAAAGGACATCGGGTTTTTAAATGAGGAAAATCAAACTATTTCTTTGGAAGAAATGAAATGTTTTGTAAGAATTATGATTCTCAGCGGATAGGATACGGTGCCCATGTAACTGAGAATAAATTGCCCGATCTAAATATCAAATTTTTTTAATAATACCATGAGAAAAACATGTTTATAACTATATCAAAATTCCTTCACTCTGCAGACAATTTTATAGGCTCAAACGACAAGGGATACAAAGTAAGGGAGCTTATGACTGAAATAAAGAAAAACTGAATAAATTTTCATAACCTTACAATATTTATTTAGATAATTTATTTTTATTATTAAATTATTTAATTAATATTTATTGTTGTGTTATTTAATTACTAATTATATACATTGATCATTGAAAAGGTACTTAAATATAGTTTAGCTAAAAATTTTGTATGTTGTTTTTTCAATATTTCTATATATCAGAACTTGGTTTTTATTAAATTTCTTTGCTCTCATTTGCCCAGCTTAGCCATGGCATTGTCTAATTATCGTGAAATGACAAGGGATATATTAAAAAAATATATTTTTCTGAATTACCTTAGCCCCTCATAAGACTTTAAAGTTTCATTAAAATATTTTACCAAAATATTTGTTTATGTGTAACATTTGTCACAAGATCAAGACATTAAATTTACTTTAATTAATTATATTTTTTATCGTAGGTCTTGGTTGAGATGAAAAAGCGAGCATCACGAGCGGGATTTGAACCCACCAGCTGAAGGAGCTAGTGATGCTAGATTTTTCATCCCAACCAAGACCTTAGATAAAAAATTTGATTCATTAAAACAATTAATAGTCAATTATGATACTAAATAAAAATATGGATTAATATATTAGATTAACCAAAAAAAGAAAAATTATTAAATATAAATATTTTGATTCGCAGGACCAGATATGGAGTGTGTGAGAAGAAAACTAACATTAGAGAACTTTTTTTCATCTTTTTTCCAAAGAGTAAGTATTTATTTCATTGGAAGGTTTTTGGTTTTACATTAACAAAAACAATATGCAATTAATTTATATTTTAATAATATTAACTGGAAATAGATTTCACCCTACAGTCTATAAAAATATGTACTTTGATGTTTTTGATCTTGTTCTTGTTTTTGTACGTTTAAGTTTAAAGCTCTTGGACAACAAGTAATGCTGTATTAACACTGGGCTTAAAAGTGAAGTGCATAAAAGTGGAACCTCACATGGGCAACCATTCACACACAAAAAGACAAACACACACAGAAAGTTGAAAACATCAATATAGAACGATATGAGTAATCTTTTGTCTGCATTTTGCAAGTTCTCCTAAGCTCCTTCCATAGTTTCGATGAGATATCTCCGTCTATGTACTTCTTATTTTTAATCCCAGTCTCTGCTGCAGAACACTTATAAAGTTTCTACATCCATTGCATTCACTGTGCAAAGTTGAATTTTGATCATTTATTCTTGATCACCGTACAACAGAATAAGTTAAAATAGACAATGAATAAAATTTAAAAAGTCTTCAATTGTAAAAGTATTTTAAAGTTATGCAGAATGTAAATATTGGGAGGAGTGGAAGAAATTCTGAAAAATCTGCACCGACATCTGCTTGTTCAAACATGTTTGTTCCCTCAAAATAAGGTCCGCTCTGCTTCTAAGCCTAAGTCAGTTAAGCCCCAAAGCATAACATATAATCTAAACATATTTTCACTCTCTTATTTAAATTAAAAAAAAAAAAAAAATATATATATATATATATATTATTATTTTTTTTGACTGGGGCTTCCGACTTCTAGGTCATTTCAGCCCCCAACTAAGTCTATATTCTATTTACTCTTTCAAACACTACATTCATACAAATAAATACATCCATACAGTACACTCATTCCGTTTGGTCGGTGGAGTACTTGATATTCCTCCACCAACCTATACTTAAACTAATCTAGATTGGTGTTGATGGAGTACTTTTATAAATATTCCGCCATCAACCCAGAACAACACTCTTACATTCTCAATGTCGCTCTTCTCTCGAGGGGTGATGATGACGTTATATTTCACCCTCAACCCTCGCCATTCACGCTAATAAATATATGCACTCAGACAAAACATATAGACACACAACACATAAGACATTATATACAATAAAAAAAACCCAATTTCCACTAAAAAGCGGAACAGGGGACTCTGAAACTCGCTACTGTGTTTGAGAACTCTTCTTAAGTACGGCAGCATGCCTACATGCGCTCTATATGGAGCCAAGGCATGACACGCCTCTATTATGTGGAACACATCGAGCAACCTTTCTCTGCATAAGGGGCACCTGCACGGGCTTTGGCCCAAAAGCAGGTGCCCATGTGACAACCGTGTATGGCCAATCCTCAGTCGGGTGAGGATGATCCCTCGTCTCCTGCTCAGGTTCTCTGAGGGCCATCTAACGGTCGTGCTCTTGACTCGCAAGACGACCCTGCCGACTGATGCTGCCATCTTTTTTTCATCATATTTTTTACTGCGTGTTTAGCGTCAAGGGGCCTGATCACGATGGTCCGATCTGGAGAGTGGGACGTACTGGCTTTCGCCGCCTCGTCCACGCGTTCGTTACCCTCCAGGCCGACATGTCCGGGAATCCAGACAACAACCACCGTTTTGCCGAAAGGCTCCAGCTCTGCGTATTTCTCTAACAAGAGCACGACGAGAGGGTCCACAGAGAACCTGTCATGTATAGCTCAGAGAGTCGGTACAAACGAGGTAGGCTGAGCCCTCCCTGGTCCACAGCGCCTCGAGAGGGTGCCAAATCACATACAGCTCTGCTATGTGCTGCAATGAGGTGGCCACTCCCTCGCTATACACAGCACACGCCACACCATCGCCGGTCTTGGCCCCATCTGTAAAAATCAGACGAAAACCGGCGTATCTATTTCTATGGTCAAGGAACTTAGCCTTGTAGAGGTATGGCGGCGTACACGATTTGGGCAAGTTCGCCAGATCGTCGTGGACGAGTACGGCCGGAAAGCACCATCCCCAGCGCCAATCTGACCCTAAGGACTCACCGAAGCACTCTCTTATTCATTCTCAAATAGGAGAGAACAGGGTATTGCTGGTCAAACCACTCGTTTTACATTTTACAAATTTTATAATTATGTTTACAATTAAAAAAAAAAAAAAAAAAAAAAAAAATGGTTGTAGCAAGTGAACTAGAATAATTTTCTCACTGAATAACTGTATTGACAACTTTCCACCTCAACCATGGAAAATGAGGCACTGTGAAGAAGTTAAAGGGACCAGCAATGCCCCTTTCTCCCCTACATTAATTTCTAGAAACACCTCATTCAGCTTTACTCAAACCAAACTTGTTCCATATATTTGCTTACATTCGCATAAATAAATACATCCATCTCAAACATATAACCCAAACCACCATGTATATGGTTTTTACGAAAGGATTTACGATCAAGGACAATTCTTATAATTCTTATTGGTGGCATGAGACATATCGTAAAGTGTTAGGTAATGATATGGAACTAAAGTTCCTCAAAAAAGTACACCAGTAGACTCAGTAATTAACATATGGAGCCATGGGACCTTCCATAATTAGGAACAAATGAAAAACATGTAGGCTTTGGCTCAATTTGTGTCTGAGTGTGAAACTTATGATTTATATATTGTTATGTTGATTCTATTTTAATAATAATGTTGTATTATTATTTTACATTAAGGCAAGAATCCATTCCTTTTAATCTCTTTTTAAATTTTTTTCTTGTACAAAACTGTCAATACAAGCCATAAATAAATTTCAGATAAAACTCCTTAAGAGAGATACAATTGAGATATATGAAGAGGTATGGTCATACGCAGCTGAAAAACAATATTGGGTCAGAACGAGAAACATTTCCTGGGAAAATGAGCTATCCATCGCTAAAACTGTATACGTGAGCCAGCACCATAACAACCACAATTGGTAAATAATTCAAAACCAAACAAAAACAACCAGAAAGTCATACCAATTAAATGTCCGATACTTTATAATAATTTTGTAGGGCTGTCTGGGACGAAACGACGGTAGTGGATCTAGGATATTTTGGAAAAATGGGCTTAGCGCTCGAGTTCTACCTGAAAAGAAAATTGGAAAAAAATTCACTGAGAGATATAGAGATTATGAGTAATATAATGAAAGACAGCGAATGACTGCAATGTGCCGTGCAACAATAAAGAAACTCTCTAAAAAGAAAAAAAAAAGAAAAATTATGGATACAAATTATGAAATATGTACATACTAAGCAATTGTGTGAAAAGTAATCAATGTAATACTATATGATTATTGCTTAACTTCATGTAATACAAGTTCTCTTATAATAATGTAATCATCCCACTGACTGTTGATAATTTGAGACTGGGGATGCTAATCAGCTATTCTTTTTTAAGTATAATTTACTTTTTATTTTGACAAAGAATGGAATCACCCATTATTCATTAGTTATTTTTAAATTTAAAAGTTTCTAAATAAATTATTTTTTAAAAATAATATATTGGTCTTATGATACCTAATTAGCCACAGGACCTTTCTTAACTTTTTATAATTTAATTTAAAAGTTATTAGGAAAACGATTAAAATACAATGTGATATGACTCCTAGACAAACATGCCACACATATGACTTTTACTGGTATTATGTAAAAAATATATCACACGTAGGTTTATTTTAACATAATCACAAATCATAACTAATCTGTGATTTATGATTGCGCATGCCTGAACACTGACTGATCACTGATTCTTAATTCTGATGGAACGCCTAAGTCCAATTGCGGACTTCTGCTGAAATTTGTCTGTAAAAAAACCTTAAAATCAATCAGTTGATTGTCTTTCATCTAGCCTCCTTTTATGGACACTTTCAATTTGCGTGATGTTCTCACATATTATTTTTGTATCAGAATTATATCTCAGAGTGCTTACAGTAATTAGTTCTGGGACCGCAGCATTCAAAGAAAGAAAAACACCTTCAATTTTCAAATTTATTTGAGATAATGCACATGTTTAAGTTTTTGTAAAAAAAGGTTTATTTCTAGAGTTTAAAAAAAATAAAATAAAATAAAATAAAAACACATTAACAAAATTCAAGTAATTCATGACTAAGTATTATGTATTTTACATCTTAAACTACTAATCATTATACAGTGAAAAATGCAATATACAAAAATGGTTAAATATAAATGTAAGTTTATATCTTTTGTTTATATGTAGATTTATCATATCATTATGAACTATTTCACTTTGTCCAACTTTATATACAATATTGTATTTAATACTCGTCTAATTGTTGTTCTTTTGTTTTTTATCATATGTTATATTTTATAAAATTATATTCAATCATTTTCTCTGTATAATAGTTATTTCAAGATATAAAATACATAGTATAATTACACTTGTATAATTCCTTAACATTTAAAAAAATGTATTTTTATTTTATAAAACTTTTTTAGCACTAAAAAGTCATTTTTATTTTTGAAAATGTAAAAATTATTTTTATTATATTTAAAATAAAATTTAAATAAAATTTATTTGTATAAATTATATTTTAAATAAATTTGAAAATTAAAGGATTATTTTCTATTTTATTAACTTGTTATACTCTCCCTTTTTGTCAACTCATCATAATGTGTAAATTATGAAATTCTTTTTAAAAAAATGCATAACGATGTTTTTTGTTTATTTTACATTTATATATTACATATAAATCTAGTCCTTAGTTAAGTAAGACTTTGCAAACTGATGAGAGCAAAAGCACTGGGAAACATCTGCGTTTATCTCTGACTGCTAGACCCTAGTCAAATCCTCGGACTGTTTTGCTGGTCAAAAATCGGTGGCTTAAAAACGCGATGGAATGGCCGACTGACAGTTCGAGTTTGTGTTTGGACGCGCGATGGTACAAATTTTATATAATTTAACAACAAAGTGACTACGATTCAAGATTAGACACCTGTCAGCTCACAATTTTGACATGAATTTATCATATGTGATATATTTACTAATTACTTTAAAAGGCTATCATATGTGTGATATCTATTATAGTGATTTATTGAGCAAATGTGTAACAGGAGTGATGTATCAGTTAATAATATTGCTCCAATTATATCAGGTTGTTGAACTTATTAGTATTTTTTGCTTATATGCTATCATGTTTTTGAAAAAAAAAATTTTGTTGTACATTTTCAACCACTTAGTATGATAAGCACATATTTGATCTTATTTTAGAGTATAATAACCGATAAAATGATTTAGAAAATATTACAGGAAAAGTAAATAAAACATTATATGTAAATATCTGTTATAAAATAATTTTGTCATAAAATTATGTGCAAATATATTTTTTTTTCTTAAGAAATGGAAATTTCACCCACCCATCGCCATGTCAGGGCGATGCCTACTTGCTCCCTGTAAGGGGCCAAGGCTGACACTCTTCAGTCAGATGTGACACATTGAGCAAATGTGTGGTGATTAGTGACCATTAGTCGAAGATTATTCGGAAATCGTGAGATGCGGTTAATAAAAACTTTCTAATTTCTATGCAGAAAACAAACACTGAGTGAGTAGAAATACTTTGATTGAATATAAAAAATATTTTTTGCATTGTATAAATTCACTTTTTTCCACATCCTACATGCATTTGTTAAAATTAAACAATCCCGCTCGTGCTATTGACTTTTTTATCTCAACTAAAAACCTTAATTAATTATAATATATTAATTGGTCAAGCGGTCCATGAAATTAGTGAATTTAATTTAAACAATGTTTGCAAATCCCAGGCCCTGAAGATGATTTTAATAAAGATCAAAACGTTGGCACGATAAAGAAAATGTTTTTTTGAAACCCTCATCACACCAGACCGCATCTCACGATTTTCGAATAACACTGAGCAACTTTCTCTACAAAACAAACACCTACATCAAAGTTTTGCACTATGGCAATGAAGAGGCGGACAGCCTGGCCAAAGAAGGATCAAATACTGCGTTTGTCGGGCCACAACCGGTATTACCCCACTCTATAAGCACAGCGAAAGAGAGTATTAGTTGCTGGGGCATGAAACAATTCCTTAAAGAATGGAATATGTCCCCCGGACACAGGCAATCGAAGGAGTTTCTGAAGGAAATCAAACCAAAAGAAACGAAATGGTTATTCTCTAACTCTAGGAGGGGAATTAGGAGGCTGATAGGTATCCTAACGGGCCATTGCCCCTTGAGAAGACACCTCTTCATAATGGGTACTCTACCAGACCCCTTTTGCCGCTTCTGTGAAACAAAGGAAGAAACGGCTCGACACTACCTTGCAGAATGCGATAGGTATGCTAGGGAAAGATTTGAAACTTTCGAAGGAGAGGACATAACCAAATCACTCCCCGAGATAAAATGGTCCAAAATCTTGGGGTTTGTGAATAGGTCCAAAAGGTTTGTGCAGGACTCGTGAGCCGACCAGGTCCCGGACCTTTTAGGGATGGGGTACGGGCCTACCTAGGCTTTTAACCCCTCAGGTCCTGGTCACCCGCCCTGCGTAATATATATGTATATATACATCAAAGTTTTAACCCAAAAGTTGGTGTCAGTCGGGTATAGGAAATTGTTAATGATTTTCCTGTGCAACCTAAACATTTGAGGAACTAACAAATTATGTTATGCCATCACACCTAGCACACCTTATATTTTCCATTTAAAGAATTTTTACACTTTAGCAGCCTTTTTAAACAAAAACATTATATGAAAAATTAAAGAAAGCATTTCCACCAGTTTTAAGTTGAAAAATCTAGTTCTGTTATATTGATAACATTATGGACCAAAAAGGATCATGATAGAATAGTGGGCGAAAAAGTCAAGACTGTTCTTGAGGTTTGGTTTTTAAACAAAAGAACAGAAATAAGAAGAATGAAAATTATAATTGGTCTTTACAAGCATACATTAAAATAAAATTAAATAATGGTAGGATATGTTAAATTAACAACAGAAACAAATTATTCTAACATATCCTGCCAGTCTTGAATTTTTTTCTTTAATGATTTTTTGTGTTTTAATATTGGTCAGAGTACATATGGATATGATTAAGAATGATTATTTGGGGGAAGGGATTGGCCAGAAAAAACAGAGTTTACAATGAGAAAAACCTACGACCTCCGAAAATATATGATGTGCATGGAAAACGATTTGTGTCTGCCCTTCTTTCCCCTCGTCACCGTGCATTTGAACATCTGGATGTCAAAAACAGTAATTGAAAGGATTCTTTTAGAATTCAAAAGAAAACGACAAAACAAACACATGACTATTTTTATTTTCACTAGATAAAATAATTTCAAAATAATTTAACAAATTTTATACTAAAATGCTTACATATCTAATGGAAGACATTTTTGTAAAACAAGGAATGTTATACCCAAATAAATACCCATCTGTTATTATAAATACATAATAATATTATTTACAATATTAAATATTATTAATAGTATTTTAAGGAATGAATAGTTTAGACAGTCTTTGACGCACTGAAGCTAATTATTTCTAAACCATTTTTTATTATTATTATTATATTTAAAGAGTTTTGTATAATAATTTTAATAGTTTATGTCAAACAATTTAGTGACAATTGATTTCCAAATTGATACACAAACAATACTATTCTATTGAGGCAAAATACATTTTAGTCTGAAGACCCTGGTTTATTAAGCTGTTTGTTAAAATATTTTATTGTTTTAAAAAATATTCTCTCAAGATTAGATTGTTTGTTTTTAATTTATGAATCAATAATAAGTCAGTTATGGGAAGAAAGGAGGGATAGAAATATAGTGAAGCACCTCTATAATTGACACAACATTTACATTCAAAAATATAAAAATTTGACCTTAAATAGTTTTTTAAACTTAGACAGTTCTTGCTCGTGATGAATTATAATTTGTTCACCAATGCAAATTTGTGTTTGTTATCTTTATAGAAACTCAAGCACTCTAAATTGTTATTTTAATAAAAGTCAACTGAAGCAGGGTGGCAAAATATACAATTGAAACTTCAGGATCAAGATGTGCCCTTTTGGGCCAATTCCAGGCCAAATAAAAATGGTGGGAAAGGTAATCAAGATCAAAATCAAGAAGAATGAAAGAAACCCTAGAATTTATTTTTGGTTAGTCGACGATAAAGCAACTTTCAAGGAAAAACAGAATGTAGAAAATAAAAAAAAAAAGGCCGGTCAAATGCTTGAATAATTTCTCCGCAAAAAACTTTCAAAGATTAAAATTAAATCTCTTCTATGTTCACATTGTTCATCCCAAAGCACTTCCTTCTGTGGGCAAGTGAAGCACCACAGTTCATTAGTAGGTGTGATTATTTTTATCAATGTCAATGTTTAATATTTCAATGTTTTTTTATGCTTTTTGTTGTTTTAAATGTTTCTTTGTCTCTTATTGTAGTTATTATAATAAAACAGTCTACTGCCCATAAATAAATAAATAAATAAATAAATAATGTAAATCTCACCAATCCAAATAACTTGCCCTTTAAATATAACAATATTTGTAAAAACAATTTAGAAAATTCAACTTTTAAAATTATACATTTAGGCACTCTATTATAAATATATTTTTTTGCCATATATCACAACACCAAAGTTTGTTTGATTAGGTATGTGACAAGTTGCAAAACAATATTATCTACCCCCATCTACTCGGTTTCGGCTAATAATTTTTTGGTGTGTATGTCTCATTACAATTCCACCGCTTGAACTGTAACTTTAGGGTCTTCTATGTCGTTTTTGCTTTGAATTATCTTCAATTCTAATTGTGCATGTGTAAGTGGTTGGCCGTTTGAAGATTCTAAAGATTAAACAGTTAAGATATACAAAGAATTAAGGTAATTTAGCCAAGATTTACCTTTAGCAATGTTCAATGTTCTTTTCAATAGACTTTGTAGTGTTGAAATCGTGTACTCCAAGGATTTAGTCAAATTGTTTTTCGTCTTGTAGTTCCAGGCTAAAAACAGTGCTGCAAATAGATCACCGGTGCCAGTAAAATTACCTGGTAACTTTGGAAACTTTAACAAGACTCTCTTCTCCTTTCCGCCTAAAAGAATTACATTAATTTTGTTTTTATAAATGTAGATTGAACAGTATATATGAAATTAACCTGCATTGCTACTCGCTAAAGCGATCAATTCATTTTCTGTTCCGAGATTTGAGGAAGAAACGATTACGGTACTGCAATTGCTCTTATTGTGAAATGTGTTGATAGCCGTCCAAGCATCATCGATTGAATTTATTTTATGCCCAGTAAGCAATCTAATAATTTAAAATTAGACAAAACATTTAAAAAACAAAATATAAAACTTACTCCAATTCAAATTGATTTGGAGTGATCACATCTGCCAAGGGTATTAATAAATCCTGATATATAGGTAGCAAAGATTCAGGTACATACAGCTTACCGTTGTCTCCCATAACTGGGTCGCAAACTGAAAATTTTTGACGATTATTAATTTATTATTGTGATAATGTTCAAAATTTAAAAGCCGATTGTTTTAGAATTATATGAAGTTTAGTTTTCTTTTACATCCTTAGAAAAAAAAAGGATTCCACTCACATAAAAAATATTAACTTTTAAAATAGTATATTCGAAACTTTAGAGTATGAATACAACTATGTTTCACATGTGCTCAAACATTCTGAAGGGTCCTGTTCTTTCACATCCATGACCTTCCCATCATCATAGAGGCAAAGTATGAAATATGATAACACTAGTCTCAATACTCAACATATGATGTACAGATACAAAAAGGCAGCATTTACTTTAAAAAAGTACTCGAATACTGAAAGTAGATGGATGTATAGTTGTATAGCCTGGAACCCTAGGAACATAGAGATCAATATTGGAAATACTGATGTAAAGAAGCCTAACATGGAACTTCCATATCAACTTCGAACTACAACCACATACTTACCTGTCTGTTTTGAATCAACTACTAAAAACTAAACAGAAAGCTGAAATTTAACTAACACACATACTTGTACAACTCTCCTATGACCAGTGTTGCTTTATGGCAGATAGGTTTTTATTCTTTATACCTTTCACGGCTGGGCTCCACGTTGCTCAATGCGCCCCACCTAACTGAAGGGTGCAATGCCTTGGCCCCAAATGGAGAGCGCGCAAGAATTTCACCGAATTTGAGATTTGTGCTTGAGCACAACAGCAAATGTATTGATCTCCGGTTCTTTTTTGTTTTAGGAAACTGTGTTTGAAGCATATAGTAATGATAGTTATGTATACCTAGTTTGTGTTGAGAGTGAATGTGTGATGTGAGAGGGTCGATGGTGGAATATCGAGTACCTATTGACCCTCAATTAGGTTAGTTGTATAATAAGTTTAAATTATGTATTGAGAGTGAATGTATTATTAGTGTGAGTGTGTGATGTGAGTGGGTCAATGAGCTATCGTGACCTCGATCCACTCGGACACCAAATTCCCATCTCAACCGCACCTTTTGAATTTTCCCTCCTTTTTGCCATTTTTCAAATGTCATGTAATCGGATTGGATTCTCGACGACAAATGAAATTTTTTTTTATCTCAACTAAAAACCTTAATTAATTGTAATATATTAATTGGTCAAGCAGACCACGAAATTAGTGAGTTTAATGATTTAAAATGAAGTATACTTCTCTAAAGCTCTCCGTGGCAATTTCATTCGTCGTCGAGAATCCAATCCGATTACACGGCATTTGAAAAATGGCAAAAAGGAGGGAAAATTTAAAAGGTGCGGTTGAGATGGGAAGTTGGTGTCCGAGTGGATCGAGGTCACGATAGCTCAAGTGGTAGAGCAGCGGCATATCAAGCCGAAGATCGTGGGTTCGAATCCCGCTCGTGCCATTGACTTTTTTTTCTCAACTAAAAACCTTAATTAATTGTAGTATTTATTAGTGTGAGTGTGGATGTGAGAGGGTCAATGGTGGAATATTGACTATCCCATCGACCCTCAATTAGGTTAGTTGTATTATATGTGAGAAGGGTGATGAAGGAATATCGAGTACTCCATTACCCTAATGGAATGAATGGTAAATAGAAGTAAAATGTATAAAGTAAATGTACGTGGGTACATAAATAGGTGTGATGTATTTAAGATTTAAGAATGATCGTGAGTGCGAATGAGCTTGGAACTGTATGCGTTGGGTACTGAATTGACCTAACTGTTGACAGCAACCGTCCCCCCCACACTACCTCGGTGGCTGGATGGGTAAAACTGAGGATTGCTCCCGGACTGCCATCCCCCGTGATGGGTGATTCTCTGTCAGCCAACAGTTTACTGTAAATTACAAAAGCTGGAATTGCCAGGGGACTACGAGAAGCAAATAGGCTCGGCATTCATGTGTGGATTTGAGCCTATATAAATAAAAAAAAATCCTTTCATGGTGATTTGGCTCTTGAGTATATCTGACAAAATGCATCTGTTCTTTGTGAAACATCCTGGTAATTCTGATCCCCTTGCAATTAATAGTTTTGACTTTTCTGAAGTTGGTTAAGTACATGAGTCGCAAGAAGAGGTTTTGCAAACTAATATAACTTTGTCTTCTATCGTATGATCTACTTTCTCTGAATCACCCACTGTACCTTGAGGTTTCTACCCTTGTGAACCAAATTACCAGCATTTTTTTTTTTATGAGGGTCACAACATTAGAGGTTATATCAACCCTCAGGCGCCAGTATTTTTTGAAAAAAAAAAAAAAAAAAATTTGTAAGTATGTCGGGTTTGAATAAAATTACCTACATTTCTGACAGAAAATCAATAACCAATGAACTAGACAGCACATTCAACGTTGTAGCAGCACTTTTTATGTTTTAACATGACTATGGCATACCACGGAGGTTCAACAGGCTTCCAAAAAAGTAACAACAGTTAATTAAGTTTTGAAGCATTTCCAAAAAGTAACTAAAAATCATTCTCTCCAGCTACAATACGTATTCTATTACATTTCAATTACTCAAACAATAATAAAAAATATAGCATTTTGTACCATTGTAAAATTATTGACATACCATAAACAAGATTGGGATTGATTTGGCGCAATTCCTTGACCAAATCCACAATTTTATTGAGGAATGACGGTGAACCGACATAACCGGTCAGTAAATGGGTGTAGTTTAATAAATTGTTATGCTTTAATGACTCAATTAAATCATCTGAAAATATAATAAATACAACAATTATTATGCTAGAATAAGAACTTATTTATTAATAACTTATTAAGTACGCTATTCTAAGAATTGTACTATATAATTTAATTATTGTTTTAACTCAAAATTCAATTTAATAAAATATATGTCCATGTTGTATTTGTATTTTGAAAGATAAATTTTTAACGAGTAGATTAAATTGATGTGACATGGAATTTCTCTTAATTAATTCTTAATTTAGAAGAAGATAAAACAGTTTTAAGTTGATATATGGAGATAACAATGGAAGATCTCTTTTTATAATCTTATTTGATGTAAATCGGGTTTACTTACTTGTCGTTGTGTAAGGGAGAAATAAAAAATAATGGGACACTACTTGAAAACTGTGGACTAATATCTTGAATGATAAACTTACAGTAAAACTTACTAAGATCATTTTCATTCAATATCTGCCCCTTAAACGATTTGTACCCTGTGTGATTGCTCAACTGGACCGAATTAATAGGGTCGACCTCAAATCCTAGAACCTAAGTAATCGCTTAATGTTTTAAAGTGTAAAAATATTTTATCTAAGTATAAAAAAAAAATTAATATCTAAACCATACCTGAAGAGGGAATGTTGCACTTTTATTTCCGACATAACCATGAACAACATGACTTTGGATGGAAAGCACTCTTGGAGATTCCATGTCTGCCACGGTCTGAAAAACAATGGAGTGGGCTTCTATGTCAGTACTCAGTGTGACATAACTTATCTTATGTAACTGTTAGCACATAAATAAAAGCTCATTGATAAAACATAGTAATTAAAAAAAAAAAAAATATTTCCCTACATAATGGACTTACTGCCTATTGTTTTCAGTAATTATTGATACAGTTAATAGCAACGACAAAGAAATGACATTATTGAAATTTAAGTTTGTTGTTACTCGTCAATATAATTTTTCAATTCAGTTCCTTCAATACATCCAAATCATCAAACTATTTGGACTAAATTTCAAAAATGAATTAAATCATTTTATTCAATTCCTTCGCCTTTATTTTTGATTCAAAGAATGTACAATTCTAAGCAAATCTACAGAACAATACAAGGCAGAACAGAGTGATCGTACTACTGGAAAATGTTTAACAACTCAAATTCTGTTAAAAAAAACTATCAATTTTGTCTTGAGTTAGATCATGATCAGCAGGGTCATGAGTTGTTTGCCAAATTGAGAATTTTACCCATTTCTCTCAGATTAACGTTGCAACGGAGACCCTGGTTGAAATGGAAATACACTGATGGACATTTTAACTCACCACTCAATTTATTTAGTAAATTAAAATTAAATCCATTTTTTAAGAGCTATCATAATCAAAATAAACAGTAAATCCTGGTTTATTTACTTCCTTTAATAAACATTTTTGTACTGATTAATCCCACTTACACAAAAAGTAAGATTGTGCACTTCCGCTATGCCTACAAAATTTCTTTCAGTTAATTGTTTTTCCTTAGTTAATTTCATTTGTTATTATTCTTATTCTTAAATCTTTTTCAATCACTCCATTCAGGCATTTGAGCGAATATGACAGTGGTCATTATTAGAGGAAGTGTACAGCCATTGTAATGTTGCCAAGAGACTGAGTGTAAATCACTCAAAATAGGAAGAGTCCTTCGGCGCTCAGAGAAACAGGGCTCCATATTACAAGGCCAAGGCAGGGAGGGGCTACAGACAAGAGATGATTCATACTTCATCAGGCTTACGAAACTGCAGAATTACGGGAAATGAGCTAAGAAATCTGATAAGACAAAACCAAAATGGTTCAATTTACTCCAGGACTACAAGAAGAAGGCTCAATGTTAGTAACCTCAGGGCTCATGGGCCACATCTTACCACAGCTCCGAAAATGGCCAGGCTTTAATTCACACAGGAACGCATGAATTGGAAATTGGAAGATTGGGAATGAATTATCTTTAGAGATGAGGTGAGAGCTGGCCTCAAATCTTCATATGGCGACGCTCAGGATAAAGCTATGCTGTATAGTTACTCAGGTGGCATTCCACAGTGGGTCAGTGATTTTCTGGGATGACGTTTCCTTGGATGCCCGAACTAAATTGGTTGTTGTGTGAGGAAGATCACATAGGTGTTAATAAGACATAATCAAGAACATGTGGCCATTTGCCCCCACATCGGTGAGAGATTCTTGCTAATGCCAGGCCCATAGAGCATATATTGTGGATTAACCTGAATTGGAATTGAGTGCTTGGTGTTGCCAGCTCGAAGACCAGATTTGAACCCAATTGAACATATTTGGGACCAACTTAAGTGACGAGTATGATGGAGAAACCCAGGTCTTAACACCCTAAACGTTGGAAACGTCTCTTCTTACTGAATGAGAAAGAATTCCTTAGTATTTCACCAGAACTCTTTTCCAAGGAATGTGAAGGCGTTTAATGGACAGTGTGCACCAGAGGTGTAAATATTCAGTATTAAATTTTTCATTTTTATTTGTTTTTGAATTTTCTGTTCTTTACTCAATAATTGTGTTTTTAGAATTAGATAATACACATTGTCTTTTAAAATGTCTTATTTTTACTTTTACAACCAAACCTATTTTTGGTATGCTAAATATGGATAATCCTAAATACGTTAAAATTTAAGGTGGATTTATTTTTTCCATTAGTGTAGTTAAGATGGAGTGAGTCAATAGGATGAAAAACGATAGTTTACTCACAAACTGTTTTTCACAGTTATCCAGATTTCGAACCTTTAAATAAATGCAAGACTGGATAAAAATGTACAAGTAAGTTTTTCCAATAAAAACTGGAAGTGAGAGGTGATTAGATTGAAGGCCACGATTACAATAAGCAGACCACCACTTAAAACTTATATTTTAAAATTGGATTTTCCACCAGTTTTGAATTGTTATTTCAGCATACATTTGGAGAATTTCCCTAATTTTAAGAGGATCTCTGTTGCAGACAATTGCCTGACCCAATACCATGATGTTCAGAGATGATTAATCACATGAAAAATATTAGGCAAATTTTAGGCAATGCAGATAAAATGAATTATATAATAAACCTCTAGTGCATGTTTGTGTAGATTTTGATTCAAAATTAAAATATCAGTAAATACATTGATTTTAAACCAATGCAGAACAAAAATAAAACTATTAAGAACTACAAAATTTTCAGAAACAATATTTTCTTACGCAAGGGGATTAAATTATATAAAATTGTATTTTTTCTTCACAGACATGTCCTTCATTGATAAAATCAGGATATACATTTTTACATTACATATTTTGTAAAAACAAGTATTTACATTAAAAAGAGATCATATATTATTTTCATAATCAATTATTGATCATTGAATAGAAAATATCAAATAATTCTCAAAAATAGTGATTGTTTAGTTACATATTAAATGTAATAAGAATTTAAGTTGAATTTCTGAATTAGCCAATTTCTTTTACAGTTCTATATTAAAATTTAATATTCAAAAAGTTACAAGCAACATCAAGAGTAAGTCCGACTCACTTGATTTTGAGTAACCGTCATATAACTTCTTACTTTCTTAGTTCTCACCGCTGTCCTGTTTGTTGAAGAGATAAAACGGCGCAGCGAAGCGCGGCGCATCCTCTTTTTTGTTCAAATTTTAATTTTCACTCAAATAAACTACCATATCTGCAAAAAGATAAAATCAAAGTAAAAACATAAACGCTCACAAGTTTGCGCATTTTCACTGAGAAATTATCCTAAATTAAACTTATTTTTACATTATTTTAAAATAAGGTTTACTCTAAATGCTTTTTGCCTCAAAATAAGTTTTGTATTGCTAAAGTTTCTTTTTTCTTTTAAGCCCTTTATAACATTTAAATATAAACAGCTGTTCAACTTACAAAATCCATATTATATTAATTTTCCATAGTCAAGTCTGGTTTTGTCATTAATTAAACAATCTTCATTAGGTTTTTATCGCAGTTGTGGTTTACCAAACAAAAATACATGTACTGATCAATTGTTGATCCAATATTATCAATGCAAAAAAAAATCTAGAAATGATGCACTATTTTATGTACTTGATACGTTTGGCACCATTTTCATGATTTGTCTATAACACCACATTATCAACTAACTTATTGCACAATGCAAAGCAGATCATTATCAAAACCATGGTCTGAGGAAGATCATATAAATTTTATTGGGTGGTCCGCTTATTTTTTAATTTATTTAAACAATATAAAATATATTTTGCAATAAAAAATACAGATTTTCCCATATGAAAAAACTAAAACTTAAATTAAACGATAATTTGTTGAAGTCATGAGGAGCGATCAAGAATGTAGTATTTTAGAAAAACACCTTTTTCGTTTTTCTCAATCTGTATTCAGGTCTTCTTCAGGACCTTGAATGGTAGAATATGTCAGTTACAATTTAAGAAAAAACAATGTAGCATCAATAACTTTTTATGTCTATTATTATGATAAAAGAGTATCCCTCTGATCTGAGGGGAATTCTTGATAAACAGTAACAATTGAAGAACAATTGAATTAGTTGAGTAAATCAGAAACTTTCAATGTTTTCATGTGTCTATTAACAGTTACTTTTGGTCATAAGGAAATGTACAAATTTCACCACTTTTCACCCTATTTTTTTAAATTTTGGTGGTTTTTAATAACTTATTTTATTCTCTAATTGGAACAGTACAGGGTTTACATAAATTCATTTTGATGATTATTCTGTATAAAAAATACAATAAAAATAAAATAAAATAAATCTAGGTTCAAGTATAATAGAATACATAAATTGTTAAAAAAGAAGGGCCTATTTTATGTTGTTGAAGGACAGGAAGCATAAACTGGTTTATATTTAAAACTGTTAATCATTTATACTGATGATAGGGGAATTAGTCATTTTTTTGTTTGTTGTGATTCTTGGATTTGTTCTTATTGCACTGTTAAACCTATTAAATTTTTTGTCGTACATTTTTAATTTTCTGGATTTTGTATGTAATAATATAATAATAATATAATAATATAATAATACTTTACTCTATGTCATGATTGTGCTCATTATAGAGGGCATCTGTATTTTGGTAATTTAAAACCATGTAAAATTATTAAAATATTGATCCATCAGAGATAACAAGGCGATTTGGGAGTGATTGTTTAATATTTCTCGTAACTTGGGAGGCGGCATATGTTTTTATTATTATTTGAGGTTTTTCATTATGTTATTTTTATTATGATACGTAATACGATATTTGATATTTTCTGGAAATGCAGATTTGAGCTTGTATAAATCAGAATCAAAATCATAATTCTTTAGCTTTAATTACTTTTATTATTATCAAGATTTCCTTGCTGATCGAAAATAATAAATCTGCCTGGCTGCTTCAGAACTTTCAATGGTTTCAATTCAATATGTCTATTAATAGTTGCTTTTGATCATAAAAGGAAATTTTCAAATTTCTCCACTTTTACACTCATTTTTTAAGTGAGTGTGGTTTTTAATAACTTCTTTTGTTCTCTGTATGGAACAATACATGGTTTATATAAATATATTTTGATGATTATTCTATATTAAAAAATAAACTAAAAATTAATTTATGATCAAACTTCATAAAATATATAAATTGTAAATAAAAAGTAGCATCTATTTTATGTTGTTGAAGGACAGGAAGCATAAACTGGTTTATGCTATTTTATTCTGTTAATGAATGATTTATAATGATGATAAGGAAAATAGATATTTTTTAGCTTGTTGCAATTCTTGGATTTTATTTTATTACAGTGTTGAACCTATTAGATTTTATTTTTGTACAAAATTATTTTCCTGGGTTTTGTATGTTATAATAAAAACTTTGCTTATTATTTCATGCTTGCTTTCATCTTCTTGGAAAAAAAAATCTCTTTATTGTGCCAATAAAAAAATAATTAGGTTCTTATTTGAACCCTCTCATCATTATGATTACTACGAAGGGCGGTAACTTAACACCATACCAAATTATTAATTATTATCCTTCAGAGAGAGGAAGGTGATTTGGGAGTAATTATTTAATATTTTTTGTAACTTGGGAGGCGGCGTATATTTTTATTTTCTGTATTATTTGAGATTTTGCATTATGTTATTTTTATTATGGTACGTAATATGATATTTGATATTTTCTGGAAATGCAGATTTGAGCTTGTATAAATCGGAATCGAAATCATAATTCTTTAGCTTTAATTACTTTTATTATTATCAAGATTTCCTTGCTGATCGAAAATAATAAATCTGCCTGGCTGCTTCAGAACTTTCAATGATTTCAATTCAATATATCTATTAATAGTTGCTTTTGATCATAAAAGGAAATGTTCAAATTTCTCCACTTTTTCTCCTATTTTTTAAACTGTTGGTGGTTTTTAATAACTTATTTTGTTCTCTAATTGGAACAATAATGGTTTACATAAATACATTTTGATGATTAATCTATATTAAAAAATAAACTAAAAATTAATTTATGCTCAAACTTAATAAAATATATAAATTGTAAACAAAAAGTAGCACGTATTTTATGCTGTTGAAGGACAGGAAGCATAAACTGGTTTATGCTATTTTATTCTGTTAATGAGTGGTTTATAAGGATGGTAAGGAAAATATTCATTTTTTAGCTTGTTGCAATTCTTGGATTTGTTTTTATTGCAGTGTTAAACCTATTAGATTTTATTTTTATACATTGTTAATTTCTTGTGTTTTGTATGTAATAATAAAATACTTTGCTTACTATTTCATTCTTGCTTTCATCTTTTTTCAAAAAATATCTTTTTATTGTGCCAATAAAAAAATAATTAGGCTAATTCTTATTTGACTACTTGTTGCCATCATTATGCTCATTACAAAGGACACTCGTATTTTGGCAATTTGACACCATAACAAATTATTGAAATATTGATCGATCAGAGAGAACAAGATAATTTGGGAGTGGTTGTTTAATATTTTACATAATTTGTGAAGCGGCATGTTTTTATGTATGTTTTTATTTTCTGTATTATTTGAGGTTTTTCATTTTGTTATTTTAGATATGTAATACAATATTCGATATTTTCTGGAGATAGGGCATGCTGAATGAGCCAGCAGACAATTAATCAATATCGTCAAATCCCCACCCCGTAGTAGAAGTTCGATTAAATTTTTTTCCTCCATCAAACGCTATAAAGGAGTGCATTTTTAGTTTTAATTTATAAATGGATTTTCATCTTTTTTTAAATTGTCATCAATTTGATACGGATCTGGGCAAGTTTGTTAATAGCTTTTTCCTTGTATCCCCTGGCAACGCATGCGCCACATTCCAGGGGGCTGAATTAAAGATTTCGCAGCGAATCCCGGCCATTCCACCAACGGCCGGGACACGTGTAGGCCACGTGTGGCCCATCCGTATCAGCTGGTTTCCCCACCAACGGATGGCAAGGTCGAGCCTCGTCCAACTGCGGTACAATTGGGGCAGACGCTCTCGCTAAGCAGTAGAGCACTGAGCCTCATGCATACCACATGAGCAACACCAGGAAGGACAGTCAGACTCCCGTCACTCCTCTCCAAAACGGTAAATCATGCACGTCTTAATATCACGCCTTGCATAATGTATTCTCGTGTTAGTACATAATTGCATCCAAAGGAAAAAAAATTCTTACATATCTATCCTTTGCTTAGTCCAAAACCCCGACTTTACACATTTTGAGCCCCAAACTTTCCAACGTCAAAATATGCAAAGTTGTACACTGCATCAAATTGTCATGGCTCAACGATCTTAAACGATCAGTGTTCTATTTTGTTTCTTTTATTTGCAAATGATACGATCTTTAATCATAGTAGGTCATTATTGCCAACAATTGGCCGATTTGATCATATAATATATATGAAAAGACAAACATTATTAAGATTGTAATATACTAGCAAATCCTTTCATTTTAACATCATATCTTGAAAGGGAAAACAAGGAAAACTTTTCTGGCTTGGCCACCCTTTGTTCAGTTTGAAAAACCAACCTCATATTTTTGAGCCCAAAATTACCATTTTATTTAAGTCCGAATAACAAATTTCAAATTTTTATAATGATATATATTTTATACTAATAATCTTGTAATCAAAATCTGCATAATGGAAAAACAAATGCTTATCATAGGATTTACGCTTTAAAAAAATTATAAAATAATTTAGAAAATTTCATTTGTACATTCTTCATTCGACTGACATATAACTTTAACCCAATTTATCTCCACCATCGACAAAAAATTGAATGTCTTGAGCTTACACATTTCATTATATTAATTAAAAAAAAAAATTATACTATTCTACATTTGCATTTAATACCTCTACTCTTAACCCAGTTTTAAAAATTTCCAATTGATGTATGACATCTCAAGGACATGGCTATATAATCAACATAGTCTACATAAGCATATGATTTAAAAACAAATTTACAAGACTGAATATATAGAATTTACTCTATGGATTTTTATTGTAAAGTAATTAACAATTCAGCTTTAATTTTTTAGGAATAATTTTTAGCCAGATGTTCTACATTGGCATATGATTTTAAATGTGTATTGTCTTATAGTAATATTTTAAATAAATAAAAATATAAATATTTGTTGAAAAGCAACTGCAATAACTTCAAATAGTTTGAGCTAACATTTTACTGATAATTATATGTCACAAATAAATTGAATGTTTTGATTATTTTTTTGTAAAGCATGTACAACGGTTTAAGGTATAGGTCCCGAGTTCGAATCCAATCCCTGCATTCGAACTCGACATACTTACAAATGGGCTTTTTTTCAAAAACACCGGAACCCCGATGGTTGATATAACCTCTGCTGTTGCGAACCCTCGTAAAAAATAAATAAATAAACTTACACGCGTGCACAGAGTAGAGCCTGTCACTTCACGCAGTCTACCGGCAATTCTAGCTTTTGTAATTTACAGTAAATTACCCGCAGACTCCGAGAATCACCCACCTTCGGATGTGGGATCAGACCTCGGTCTTATTCGTCCAGCCAAAAGGGGTTGGGCTCCAGGGGCTGTCAACAGTTAGGTAATTTGAGCCCCCAACGCAATCACGTTAAAGCCAAACCCATTCATTCTTAAATACATTCTTTCTTACTTACATATCACTTAGTTAGGGCGGTGGAGTATTCGATATAAAATCTTCACCCCCCTTACACAATCACACCATTAAATACATTCACCCTCGACAACTGGTCGGTGTCAAAACTAAATAAAATAGGCCAGTCCCAAGCAACCGGCACGGGGAACTGTGTCAGGTAAAATACACTGTACGCGTTGGCCAAAGGAATTTAACCAAACCTCGCTTACCTGGAGGGCTTCCTCCGGGCCTGGTGCGATTTGGGCTGAGCTGCGATCTTGACGCGGCATTTGCTTTCTCGTGAATCTTTGCAGGGGATCCGCGAAAGTAGGGGGATGCGAAAGGCAAGATAGAGATTAGGAATCAAAGAAAACTAGGGGCTAAGCGCTATGGGATAGAAACAATTTGAACGATTTTCGTGGTTGGAAGATATTCGTCAGAGGCAAGACTAGAACAGAAAAGAAAAAATTACAGAGGCTCGCGAAACTAAACAACACAAGCAGGACCACAATTTGAATTAAGAGTACAAAACGAAATACTAAAAGCTCGCGTGTATACGGCGCGAACAATTACTATATTCAATAAAACAACCCTGTTGATACCTACAAGAATCGGACCACATACTACTGTGCTCAATTCTCGTATCGGGTGGCATTTCTATATAGAGCCAAGAAATTGCACCCTTCAATTAGTAGGACACATCGAGCAACCTTTCTCTACATGCCGGACATATAAGCGGTCTTTGGTCCAAAAGTGTGTGTCAACCTCGTTTGGCCTATTCTTAATCGGATGACTCTTTTTCTATCAACATGTCCTCCGAGGGCCTCCTGACGACAGTGCTTACGATACGCGAGGGCTTCTCTGCAAATCCGGCCCACCGATGCTGCCATTTTTTTAAAATCATGTTTTTACTGCATATTTAGTGTCAGGGGCCGGATCGCGGTGGTTAGGACGTCCCGACCTTAGCCGCCTCGTCCGCCTTTTCGTTATATTCCAGACCTATGTGTCCGGGTACCCAGACAACAACCACCATTTTTCTGAGACGCTCCATCTCTCAGTATTCGATTAGGGGTCGACGGAGGACCTCTCTCTGACAGCAGTAACCACGCTGAGCGAGCCGGTGCAGACTAGGTAAACCATCGTCTCCAATAACCTCAACTGTGTGCCAAATCGTGTATAATTTTGTATATAATTATCGCTACAGTGCGATTCTCGCGACCGTGAAGTGGACACACCGTCGCAATACACGGCGACACACCTTCATCAGCCTTAAACCCGTCTGTAAAGGCGAGGCGAAAACCGTCGTACCTTCCATGAAACTCGGTAAAAGTACGGTGGAGTTAAGGACATGGCTAACGCGGTGAGATCGAGTACGGCCGGAAGAACCCAGGGAGGAGTCGGCCGGTTGCCCAGCTCCAGTACGGTTCTTCGAGTCATCCCTGCCCTCCCTATCCCAGGGTCGCGTCCGGGTATGAGGTTGCGCGTACATTCTGCTTACTGTCATCTAAGAATCGCACCCGAAAGGTGATGTCTCGGTTTGACCAAAACCGGCCAAAAAGCCTGTTCTAAACGTGCCCGAAACTGCTCGAAGGCCCGATAGTAGAGCTCATCGGGCTTCTGCAGGTCCATTTTCGGAATGAAAAAGAGGCCTGCAAGCAAAAAACAAGAACAGAGAGTCAAATATTTTCAGGAGGGCCTCTATGTGTGCCTGCCATCATAACTTTTGAACAAACAAGGCCGAGGAACCTCGCTGACTCTACGTATCTTACAGTTTTGATAAGTAAAAATGGTATTTTATAGTACTAACTTCAAATTGTTTGAGTTTAAAAAAAATCATTCATTTGTGTTAGGATCTGTTAAATGGTCATCGGATGAAGAAAACGCCAAATACGCTTCATCATATATTTTAACATCTTCAAGGTAGTAATGGACTAGATTAAAATTTAAAAAAAGTTGAAGTTAACAAGCATTCTTTATAGGCCCCAGAATGAAAAATACATATTTTAAATAGAAAGTGTGTGGACAAAGGGATTTTTATGGATTAGCCAAGACTTGCAGTCTCTTCTAGTCTTCTACTACGTTTTCGGTATTTTCCTCATCCGATGACCATTTACCTGATCCCCACTTAAATAATTTCACTGGTCGATCTTCACACAGATTTAAAAGCATAATGTGATTTTACCCTTAACGGAGTAGGTCAGTATTGACAAATAAATAGGCTGATTTTATCATGGTATTTGTAACGTAAATAGAAAAAATATTAAAAAAAAAAAAATCGCCAGATTGTTTGATTTAATAACTTCTACTTTATGTCATTGACTTACTCCTTTAACCCTTAATATTGACAAAGATTTTGTAATATTAAAAAAATTACTTTATTTTATAAAAAGTCAAAAATATTCCAACTTTAAATTTTTTCACGCAGGCACAATTTTCTCTAGGATTTTACATAATTCATCAACCAACTACAATCAAGTCGTTCCGGTTCATTTATTTTCGTTCTAGTAGGACAATATTGGCAAAAAAATTAATTTGGACTAATTTAATTTCATAATATGACAGTATAATTAATATAAAACAGTAAAACAAATTAAATTTAAGATATTTTAAAATTAGTTATTAAAAATTATCAAATGTATTTCCTCTTGTAACAAACATTTGAGCTAAAACTGACGAAGAAATTAATATACCATTCGTTTTTTTTAAATATTGACCATTTGATTTAGGTAAGATACAGTTCAGTCATGTTTTGCATCCTTAACTAAGCTGGTTAATATTGACAAATAAATTGACTACGTAGTCGATCATTTGGCATTTATTAAACAGTTAAAGAGAATTATTTTATTAAAAATAAACCCAACTTAAATTGTTTGAATTGAATTTTTCCATTTAGCATGCCATCGCTTTGCCATATACATTTTCTTAATTTGCATGTCAGTTTATACTTATTCAACCCAATTGATCAATATTGACATACAACTGATTCCATACTTGCTTATTCTTTGAATTTCTCTATACAATTTTTTGTGTTCATATTACTTTCCTCCAACTAGAAATAGTGAAAAGCAGCAATTTGACAGACCCGACTGTAAAACATTGTAAATCCTCGAGGCAATTACAGAAACTTCAATGCCTTGGGATATTTTAAATGAGGAAAACGTGAATCATGCTTTACATCTTGTATGCCAACGAAATTTTCCTCGACGAGAAATTTTGCCGTCACTGAGAAGCGAATTACGTCAAACATTTTTTTAAAAATACTCTTTGCTTACTATCTAATTATCTGAGGAAAATCATTATTTTTCTTAGTGTAAGTTTGCTTTCGAGAACGAATACCGTTAGGTTAAAGCTTGCCAACTCCTTGGTTTTTAATTTTAAACCAGTGGCATTAAATTTCTGTATAAATGTACGGCAAAAAAAAACATAAAAAACAACAAATTAATCTTACTGAAGAATAA